TTCTTCAATGCCGGACCAGGGGCCGTGCTACAGATGACCTGTCGGCACGCGCCAGGTGGGAAAAACCTCGTGGCCGTTGAACAGGCGCATGAGGCCTGGGCGGGTTCACTCTCTCTCTTCCCATCAATGCAATGCAGACGTGCGACACTCGTACCTCGCAGATAAACCCACATTGTCCCGTTCCGTTGACAGCTCGGATTTTTTTTTTTTTTTTTTTTTGGAATTTTCTTTTTGAATCATTGTCTCCGGTGGTCATTGTCCTACCCGACGCCGGCCTCTGTCCGGGTCGAGCCCCTGCCCCGAGCTGCCAGTTTCGTATTAACCTCTTTGACAGTTGGCCACGTTCATGTCCATGAATCACCCCGGGTTGGTGGCCGTGTAGTTATCGTTCATCACCGTGACATGAAAAGAGAGGGGCGTTCTGGACAAATCTGCCAGGGTGAGACTTGGCCCCCTCTCGGCTCCAACACACCAGGCAAATCCGTAACCGGTCATGCGGGCTCGAGCATGAAGAGGAGGAGGGGAGGAGCATGAGAGAAAAGGATAATTTTCCCTATTTTTCTACAAAGAAATGTGGAAAAGCTGCCCATCAGTGGTCGCGGGCGGTGACAAGCGGGCTCCGAGATGCCCGTGCCCACGGTTCACCGTTTTCCGCTCGGGAGCACAATATATATGCACAAACGGGCTGTTTTCCCACCAACATGGGCTTCTTTCCTTTTCGTTTTTCGCCCCCCCGCCATGCGGAACGTGAGCGCTAGAGTGTGTATAACTATTTGCGCCCACACGACCCCCCCGCTTGGTCTCGCCATGCCGTGACTCGAATGGCCTCGTCACCCAACTGGTTTCTTCGTTATTACTTTGTCATTGATCATGGAATTATTCAACAGACAAGCCATGTGGGCTTTTAATGCTGAAACCCCCTCAGCGGTTGCAGGAGGAGGCGCAACAGCGCACATGGCGCCCCGTACCGCTAGGCAACTCGGGCCCGCGCCGTCCGTCTCCGCCCGTCCAGCCCAAAACCGGGCTTATTCTGAACCCCGCGCCCACATGGCATGGCATGTTTGCCTGCGATGATACATCATGTATTTTTTTTCTCGTCCTCCTCTAACTAGTTAGTTATGTGCCTGCCTGCCGCTTGGAGCTGTGGGTTCTGGGTGTTGCGTGGGTGGCGCACGAAGGATTCCGTGGAAGGGGGCTAGAAGGGCTTTTATTAGCCAAGACTTTGTGTTTGCTTTCGCCCTGTGTGTTGCGTCCTCACTCTTATACGAATAGTTAGAGCGGTAATGTGTGCGTGGCCCTGGCCGTGCAGAAAGGCGCGCCCGATCTTGTCCCATGCCGTGCTTGTACTGCCACGGCTCGTTCGGCGTGCCTGCGCGTCCAGCCATCATGTATGTGCTTGTCTCCCGTCTGCTTGGGCAGGTAACGTTGACCGGTGCGCTCAAGCAAGCGTCCCAGGGCCTGAAATAGACGCAGACACAAGCACGCCCACGTGAATGAATCGAACAATCTCGCTCCCCAACTACCAGGGTGGTTCCTCCCAGATTCCTAACCCAGGGGTGACCTTGCCACCAAGGCATCAACTTTCTCGACAGGCACACTGAACCTTGAGGAAATATACACCCCCCTTGTGTTTCTATCTGGATGGCCCCCGCGTCCGACGCAGACTAGTTTGTTGGGAAGGGGGGGGATGTTGCAAGCCACTCCTGTATTACAGATGTTGTCCGTGTGTGCCTCGCTGCTCTGGGAGTCTTGGCTTTTGTTCGTTTACTTGCCTTACAGACTGGTAAGTTTAAATATGCTGGCAGCCCTGTGCTTGCTTTTTTTTTTCTCTCTTGGACGTTGTGCCCCTGGCAAGATCCAATCTCCCACGCAAATCTCGCCGCCACCACGAGGCTCTGGACATTATATATTTTTGTGGTCCCTGGTACTGGTACACACGACGCCCCAGGTTCTCTATTTTGCTCCGAAATTGCATATCAGCGGTTACTGCCAGCGACCTAGCAAAGGATCAACGACACAGTGGCCTCAACCTGTCTGTCTAAGACGATAGGCAGAGTCACATTGGACAGGGCCTCTATCGACCGGCCCAATTTATTCTCCTCAATAGAGAAAGAGAATACTCTTCATCACAAGAAGTCGACCTAGCGGCCAGCCAACAACCCATCGTCATCGAGGGAATATACATCTTTATCGCGATCCATACCTAAGACGCTGCGACGACGTTTTCCAAATCAAGAAAAAATATATTCTCTTCATCGCAGACACTAGATTCGTGTCCATTGACCAGTCTCGCAACCGTTTTCGGCTTATTGCTCCGAGACGTTGAACACAGGTACGGTACGCAGGGCGCAAAACTGCGCTCTCAATTACACAGACACTTGGCCGAAGCCACGCCGCAAGTTCCGGAAGACGACGTGGGTTTCCCGGTCGTGGTTGGTGCACGCGCGCGCACAACGTCGGACCCTTGCTCTTGAAAGGACGAGCCGACTAACTGATACTTGCTCTCGCACAGGGTTGCTGCTATCGACCCCCTTGTCGATTCTTCGTTCAAAAAATCCCGGCGGCGCCTGTTTCAGGCAAGAAGCAAGGAGCGCATCGAATATCTGTACTCGCAAGTCCAAGACTGACGGTGAATATCTCGGTGAGCATGAACCCATGGGCCCTTGTTGTCCCAATTTCCCACCCCTCTCTTGGCTGCCCCCCCGGTCATGTCAACCAAGGCGCCACCAGCTGGCGCCTAATACAGGGCCGTCGCGTGCTGTCTGACTCTTTCCGAGATGCGACGCAAAAGGCAGTGAGCGGCGATGCCGTCGTTGCAGCACTGGGCTTGGTCGTTAATCTCAAACGAGCATCTATTCGTATCGAGACAAGCTGACAGTGAGAGTGAGACACAGGACCAGGGCCATACTATCCGCATATTCGCTCGTTTGCACCCGTCTTCTTTGTGTGAATCCAGGCGGCTAGCTTCTTGTAAAGAGCACAGCCAAGAAGAGACCTGTCTGTTCGCAAGATATTCAGAGACTTGACAAGAGCCCCGTACTCGGATCACGGCATCAGCATCACCTCACGGCATCACCGAAAAAGCAGTTTTACTGCGTTGAACACGGGAGGCTTTGCCCCCAGTAATATCAGAAAAGGTGTGTACAGGATATCGATCCCTTTTTTTTTGTCAGAGCCGAAACCCGATATGCATTGATCATTATTTCCTTCTCCATGCGTCCCTCTTTTTTCCTTCCTTCTTTTCCTTCCTTGATGCTTCTAGAATATCGAATATGTGTCCCCTGTGGGGGGATCAAGCTGGGGCCAAGATCAGCGAGGGATCAGTGCACCGGTTTCAGACTTTCAGTACAGAGCCGGCCCCAAGACTCGGGCGGGCTTGGGTCAGTGCCTGGTGGAACCGGAATCAAGGCAAAATGAAAGACGGACGAGTGTCCTTTTTTCTTTTTGACATGTCCCGTGGACGGATGAGACGAAGCGATGCCGGCAGCAAGCGGTGCGTGAGGCTCATGTGAGGGCCGGCCTCTGGCGTGTTTCATTTCAGTGGGCGTCGCCTGAGCGTGCAATATAGCAGCCGGCCGGCTCACACCGCGGCAACTACCTACCAGCCAGTGCTTTGGACAAGGTTGGCGCGCCGGGCTATGAGCTTGCAAAATCAATCCTTGACCATGCGCCGATTGAGAGACTTGTACACCCTGCCTGTGTCTTTTTTTTTTTGTCGCCAAGACGTGGATGATGGCGCGCAGAAGAGACACGCAACTTCGCAACCGGGTCACCGGCGTGTGGCTGAGCGGTAGGTGAGAGAAGTCTCATATTCCGGCCGGCAGGCAGCGCCCTGTTGTTAGTCATCTCTCTGGTGCTCTCATCGGAGATTCGTCTGTTCAATTGACGCTGGTGGAACGCCAGCGCATTCCAGTCGACAACTACCAGACGAGTCTGAGGCTCGAGGTACCTTGCCACCGTCTTTTGAGCGCATGGGTACTTGCCGCAAACGGCCATTGGATCAACCAGCCAACAGCATACTGGCAACGTCGGAACTGGAAATGGGACGGGAAAAAAAAAGAAAGCGTTGCGAGATTGGAGAGTCGAGACCAATCCCATCTCGCAGCGTTTGCCTTTTTTGTTCCGATCTAGTTTACTGTTGATCGTTGTCCGCGTATGTATGTATGTACATGGCACGGGGCTGCATCTCGCTATCTGCATACCCAAAATAGCGACTTTGTGGTGGCTTGACGGGCTTGACAGGCTCGACGGTCTAGTGGCTGTGTGGTTGCTCGCGTGGCCTACTGCGCACATGGTTTGGCACGTTTTTTGTTCCCTGCTTGCCTGCCACCAGTATTAGGTGCAGTTGTGGCACACGCCGACTGTTGAGCCACACCACTTCCAGTTGAAGTGACTGCCACACACCAACCCAGCCGGTCGGCTCTCCGATCATGCAGCCCAAGCAGGAACGGCACCAACGCAGCGACTCGTCCTTTGCAACACAAAAACGAGACGACGAGAGAAGAAGGGTGAAAAGGAGACGGCTATCTGGACCAGAGTACGCTGCATCACTTCGGGCGCTCCTCCTAACCAGCATGCTCGTCTCGTCCGTCTTTTTTCATCCCCTCGGGCTGTCGTTGGACGTGCAACGCGCTTCTGCCACAGGTACCGCTGGCCACTGAAGCTGGCCGCTGCGCCCGCCGTACCGGGCCGTGCTGGTTTATTTCTACCACCGCACGGGCATTCAGGAACCATTGACCAAGGTCAACACCACTCTCCTTTCTTTTGTTGCATCGCTTCCACCTTGGTCGCTTTTTTTTCCTGTCTGTTTAATTGCCCGGCGTGCGCGCACGTCCCAGGTCCCCTGCCACAAGTCCCGAGTCAGGCAGGCCCTGGCAGGAAGAGGGGGGGGTGTGGGAGCTAGTGGATGCGTTTGCTTTCCCTCGTGGCTTTTTTGGCCTCCAAGGTCCAAGGCCACCGCATCGTCCAACTGGTGCCCCGTTGGCTGCATATTTCATACCATGCACTTAACCCATCTGAAGCCGAGAGTCGGACCCGCCTTCTCCTCCCTGTCACAGATACTCGTCCCACCCGGCATATTTCTCTCTTCACCCCTCCTCACCCCTCCTTCTTTCACTCCCCACTTAATTCTTCCATGCTGGGGGACAGGAGGAAAAAGACTTGTACCTCGTACCTCTGCGCCGGTGCAGAAAACTGGGAGCCGCCGCCGCAGCTTCACAGTGGGTGGGCTTACCAGGCATGCTTGTCCGCGACCAGCACCTGAGAACACCGGGCAAAGTGGAAAGAAAGAAAGGAAAGAAAAATGGAAATAATTGTCTAGGGGTTGTTCCGCATGTACCCTCTACTTTCAGTTTTTTCTCTTCCTTTTTGCCTTTTTACCCTTGGCTCTCGCTCTTCTGTCAGCCCTCCCCTTCCCCCCGTTTGCCGGCCCTCTCCTCGCACGCCTTCTTTGTTCGTCCCCCCTCCTCCATCACTACATACACCCCTTTAGCCAAAAGCCTATCTCTCATACTCCCCCCTCTTTCTTCAATCCACCCACGCTTCCAACTTGCACTACCGTCTCATTCGTCTTTTTTATTTCTCCCGCCGACCTGCAACTCTTACCCGTCTTTTCCCAAAGAGTTCCGGGCCACTAGTTTTCTTCCTTCTTCTAATGCTTCGTCGTTTGTTCTTCTCATCTTGGCCATACTCCCATCGCCTCTCCCTCCATTCCTCCACCCGTCCTCACACTCGCCTTGCATAACAAGGCCACAAACACCGCCCTGGGTCTTGATCCGTTTTGCTTACGCCTCCTTCTCTTGTTCCTCGTCAGATGGCAGCTTTGTCGAACCACAATTTCACCGATTCGATATCATCACACAAGCCTCCATCCGCGAATAGCTTCCCGCCCGCCTCGCGTCACGAAACCAACCTGCAGCAGCCTTGCTCGACGGCAACCACACCACGGTCCTCCGTCGACCAGCGTCCCGCTCAGCAGCTCGTCCACCTCGGCCAATCCTCCCGCCGTTCTCACCACACCTCGTCCGTTTCCACCAGCTCCCTGCCCCGCATCGGCTCCCAGCGCTCCTCCGGCGCCAGCAGCATCCTCTCCCGCGCCAAGGACCGAACCCAGAGCGCCTTTGCCAGCTTCTCCGAACCTGTCCTCCGAACCCGCCACTCCAATCCGGGTCTCGCTAGGTTCACCCACGGCGAATCTATCGTTCCCCTCACCAAAGCCACTGCTTCCTCGCCTACCAAGAGCCCCTCATCCGACTCTCTCTCCTCCGGCGAGTACACCCTCGCCGCCCGCAACCCGCCATCGCAGCCCTACGCCGATACCGACGCCTCTCTTCCCCTCCCCATCCGACAACCTCGCAACGAGCCCAAGATGCACCAAACCTCTTCGCGCCTGCTGCGCATGACCGACGATGATCGGCCTTATACAAGAGTAAGTACAGCTATTTCACATGATTCATGACACTTTGTCTGCCGCTAGCCCGGTGACCGATGGAAGACGTTCAGACCCCGTCCTGGAGTTCTCCTCGGTACCAATTGGATGCGCCCCGCCACAATTGACTTTGACCGAACCTCTCCAACTTCCACTCCCCAGCGCTAACTTTTGAGTCGTAGGATTTCAAAGATCTCTTCTCTACCTTGGTCGTTAGCCTTCTGCCCCTCTCGGCTCACCGAGTACGACTAAGCAAGGTTGAGTATACCTTCCTCTCTGAAGATGCTATCAACAACCTTGGCTCCCTCAAATTCTCCCAGTCGAACCGTATGCCTGATCCCAAGGATCCCTCTAGAATCGTCACCACCACAACAACTACCACATTTTCAATGGCCAAGGACATGGCCCGCTCCATTTGCCAGCGATTCGTCGAGGCTCGCTTCATTGAGTCTGCCGACGGCAAGCTCCAGCAGGTTTACACCATGAAGGGCGGTGTGTGGCAGTTGACTCCCAAGGGTGTTGCCATTCTCAACCGCTTCTGTGCCAGAAATGGCATCCAGCAGAAGCAAGTCGGCGAGCTGATGAACACCAGCAACCTCCAATTGGTCATTCTCGAGCGTGACCTGCAAAGCGACAAGCTCCTCAGCGATTGGGGTACCATTGAAGTCATCTTCCGCAGGTTTATGGGCTCCGACGGACGTAACATCAAGTCGAGCGTCGCAGCCGCAGATTCAGATTCACTTCACGACTACCAGGACGGTCTGACCGGTGTCAAGATGGCTGCTGAGCGCAAAGTCAACGGCAAGACCTTCAGCAATACCTTCACCGGCCGCGCCACTACCGATTGGCTCATGGACTGCTCCACCATCGTCGACCGCCGCGAGACCATTGAGATTGCTAGCCTATTTGTCGAATACGACCTCATCGAGGCCCTCACCCACGATCGCGCCTACCTCTCCCAGATCCCGACGCACAATCTGTTCCAGCCTACTAAGCATGCCATCTATCAAGTATCGCAACGGGGCAAGGACATTCTCTCCGGTGGCGGCTCGAGAGGCCGTGCTTCCGAGAGTGAGGCAGGCACCGGATCTCAGCGCAACGGCATCACTAGAGACTCCAATACCCAGCGTCTAGATAAAATTCTCAACGACCCCGCCCTGCGTCTGCTCTTTCGCGAAAACCTGTCCGACACCCACTGCGAGGAGAACTTGTCATTTTACAAGGATGTGGACGAGTTCGTGCACGTCTGCAAGGCTGGTATCCGTGTGGCCAAAAAGTCGCCCAGCGCAAACTCGATGGACGGCATCAAGGAGATCATGGCTCAAGCCTATGGCATCTACAATGCATTCTTGGCGCCTGGATCGCCCTGCGAGCTGAACATTGACCACCAGCTCCGCAATAACCTCGCGACACGCATGACCAAGGCTGTCGGCCAAGACATCGCCATGATTGAGACTCTAGAGGAGGTGATGACGCTGTTTGAAGATGCCCAGACCGCTGTGTTCAAGCTCATGGCCAGCGATTCGGTGCCCAAGTTTCTACGAAACGCCAAGTACGAGCAGCAATTACGGAATTTCGATGCCGACCTTGGTCGAGCGCCCGAGCGGAGCCAAAGCCGGTCGAACCGGAAATAATTGGATTGTGACATGACAGTCCAGCCCCAGTCCTTGTTCGGCGTCGATCCGCCCAAGGGCGGCGATTGTTTGGACACGACTTTGTCGCGCCGCACCAACTGCGCGTCTGGGGGCCACGCGCATCAATCAATCCACGCCTGCTTTTTCGTCTTGCCCACGAAGCCACGCCACTATCCATTTTTTATACCTTGGTCACATGGTCGTTTTTTTAGACGACTTTTCTTTTCTTTATTCGCAAATTTGGGCGGCATCGTTTGATACCAAGACTAGATTCCACCACACGATTTTGTGTCGCATTTACTGGTGTTTTTGCATTTGCTGCGCTCTGTTTCATTTACGAAACTTTTTTATATAACTTATATGCCACTTTCTCTTTGATGCCACTCTCTCAGCTGCGATCTGGGAAATATCGGGCCCACTCGGACACTGGCAGCTGGTATGCTGCGACCTACGAGGGATGGATGAGAGTCTCCGCGCGACCAGCACAACTCGAGTCAACCTACCCGCCCATCAAGGTATGGAACCTACCCGGGAGCACTCGGTGAAGGAAGAAGTTGCAGGTTTTTGGCCGAGATTAGCCTGAAGTGTGTCGAAATCGTCGCAACAATAGCAACACAGAAGAGCTTTTTTGTTTGAGTACCTACCGTGTTTTTCGTTGTGCGAGAAACTTGGGTGCAATGGAAAAGTCGTTGTGGCGTTGGTTGTTGATTGTTTCTGCCTACAGAGTTTGGTTACTTTATTATACTTGTTTAGCATAGAAGGAAAGCGTCAGCTGAAAGAAGGGAGGGAAGTATCGGTTCGGGACATGAGGGAAGAAGCATGGCACGAATACGAGGTGCATAGTAGAAACAAACACTTTTTTTTTCACTGTTGCTGTTATGAGTTGTCTGCCCTACGTGATGACGATACATGTCGAGTGTTTCTGGTTTCTGGTATGAAGCTGACTGAACAATGTGGTTGCTATGACGCTATGCAAGCTATTGTATTAATTCTTCATCGTCTGGTCAGCGCCTGCGACACAGTCTCGGGGCGATGGAAGGAAACTGAAACCCGGAAAGAGCGATCTACGGTAAAACTGGCCATGATGAAGGAGAGACGGCAAGACGGCAAGACGGGTAGTGGGTTTCAGAACGACGAACGGGCAAAAGAGCACGGAGCCGATGTTGGTTGAAGATGGACCTTGAGTTTATTCTGGTAGTGCGCCGCTGGCCAGACGAAAGGCCGTGAGAGGTTCGGTTCGTCGCAGAATCGAGCAGGAAGAAAACCATGCACTATCCGTCGGCTCTAACTATCCCACGTTGGTACAATACAGAGAAAAAAAAAAGGCGAATAGAAATATAGCTTTCTTCTAGACTGCGCAACGTTGCAAGTGAACAATGGGCGGCGCAGTCGACCAAGACACAAAACGACTTGTTGCACCAGACCGGGCCAAGTCGTTGCGCGCTGCCTTCTCTCTGAGTATTGAGACTTGAGCGAGACAAGGTAAAAAAGAAAAGAGCAGACCAACGGAGCAACCCATGACTCCCTCCCTCCGCCCGCTGAGGAGGGGGGGGGGACTGGCACGGGTGGTAATCTGCGGCCGGAATGTAAGTCCCCGCCGGGAAAAGTGGGGGCACCGCCCCGGACAGCATTCCGGAGCTGTTTGGCGACGCCGCGATGCTATTTTGCCAGCCCAGCTCTCAGCCTATCTAGGCTGAAAAGAAAAGAGCTTTTGCCAACCGAGATGGGTCCCAGCTGAGCGAAAGATGATCTGTCTCCCCCTCCCCCCCCCACTGCCCAAATCAGGAACGACCGATACCTTTGGGTGCCCAACCCACCAAGTACCAGAGCTTGTCGTTGTTGTTTGTTATTCTCAAGGTGTTGGAATGAGAGCGGCTCCCCTCTACCAGCCTCTTTTTTGTCCTCGGCCCCGTGTGGTCTGTGCCGTGTTTCCTAACCGTCACCTCGCAGCCGTGAGCTGAGGCTCTTGGCTACTCAACGGTCGGGAACGCAGGTAAGTTGTTGTTCATTTCCCAAAGGCTGTTTTTGGGTTCCGAAATGGGCAACGTACGATGGGAGAGGAAACCAAGAGACCAGAGAATAGGTCCCCGCCCACTTCCAACATATAAAGCCATCCGAACGTTTCCCTCTTGCGTCCTTTTCTTCTTCTTCCCTTCTTCATCACACTCACTCTAGTCCCTCGCTCACTCACTACTTGCAACTTTCCAATACACCTCTTCTCTCCAACCAACACACACACAGACAGACACACATATATATCAAAATGTTCTCCAAGACTGTTGCTCTCGCTCTCATCGGCGCCGCCGCCGTCCAGGCCGCCATCGCCCCCAACGGCACGACGCACAACGGCACGACGCTCACCGTCACCGAGGTTGTCGACGTCTGGACCACCTACTGCCCGGAGCCCACGCACCTGACCATGAACAACAAGACGTACACCGTCACCGAGGCCTGCACCTTTACCATTACCGACTGCCCTTGCACCATTACCCGGACGGTACGTTCCCGGCACAAACACACACACCCAGGCATCAAAGCTGTTGGCCCCAGCGTACAAACTAACACTTTTGTTCCTGTAGATCCCTACCCACCACCCTGTCATCCCTGCCAACAACAACCATCCCGCCAACAACGACAAGCCCAGCGGCAACAAGGGCCCTGCCCCGACCGCCGCGCCTCCCGCTACGACCGCCAGCCAGTGCCCCGGCGGCAAGGACTGCGCTCCCGTCGTCGTCGCCGGCGCCGGCCAGAACACGGCCGCTTACGGCATGGCCCTCGTCGGCGTCCTTGCCGCGGGTGCCTTTGCTCTGTAAATGGCGCTCTGGTAAGCAAGGACGGGATCGGCGTTGTGGGAAAGGAGTAAGCGGTTTATTCTTTTCTATGTGGCCATTGGACAAATGGGTCCAGTCATGTAATATACATACATTTTTCCATGCCTTTTCGCAGGTGGCTTCTACTCATTTTTTTTTGTTCGCTCCTGTTCGTTATGTGCCTCACTCCTGCAGCGAGTCTTGTGCTGTGAACAAGGCAGCTGTGAAGAGCAGAGGTTCCTGGGGTTCGCATTACTTTAGGGATGGGTGTGGTTCTTACGACCGAGACAACGTGCTTGTACTTGGAGGAGAATGAATTTCACCAGCAGTCCAGGTATTTTCCTTTGTTTTACGTCTTTGTTCTCCCGCTTGGATCGGAAGCAAGATTTACTTAATAATACCTATTTTCTCACGTTGACTCGGTTTGTCTCACTTGTTGTGCACTACTGATTTGCGCAGACGGTGGCTGGGTAGCTACAAGACAGTTTTGTGTCTACTTCAACACTACTGGTCTATGCAAAGCGACATCTATGTAACTAACACAAGGTGTATCTGCCCAACGCCCAAGATCGAAAAATAAGAATAAAAAGAACTTGAACACCTGTCATGGCAACTCGGCCGGGTCACGGGTCGCATCAGCCTCGTGGTATGCTGTGTTTCTTGACCATGATGTTGCCGGCTGCAGGAAGTGTTGTTGTTCCCGCCACCCGCATACATGCCATGCGATGGCGCTGGCCTATCCTCTGACACGTAGCGCTGCTCCGTCAATAGCCCCGACTGGTGGTAATTTGCATTCCTGGGGTCTGTGGCGGCCGCCCCCGCGCGACGACGACCCGCCTCGGCCTCCCTCTGGACATAGTAGCTGCTGATCCTGTGGCTACTGAGCGGCTGCTGCTGCTCCCCCTCACCGTGCTCGCGGCCCATCCCTGCTGCTGCTGCTGCTGCCCGAAGGCGTCGTCGCTCAGCGTCCTGGGCGTCGCGGGCGCCGCGCTGCGTGAGGCGGTCGGCGAGCCTCTTGTGGGCGTCCCTGAGGGTGCGGCGGACAAAGGCGGCCATGACGAGGCTGCAGCGCAGCTCCGTGTCCTCGCGCAGGTAGAGGCCGGTCGGGGGCGCACCGATACCGAGCTCCGGGGCCTCGCGCGGCTCGCCGGGGGCGCTTCCGGCGACGGACCAGCGCGTGCGCAGGTCCACGCCCATGGGCGCGTAGCAGTGCGTCTGCAGCCCGACGCCGGGCAGGTCGAGGAACGCGCAGCGGTAGCGCACCGAGCCGCGCGCGAGCCCGCCCGGCAGGTAGTCGATGCGGTCCGTCACCTCGTACCACGCGCAGGGCCGCTCGTCGGCCGGCGCGTCGGCCGGTGCTGCTGGCATCCGCTGCCGCCCCGTCACGAGCGGGTTCAGGTCAATCATGGCCTCGTGGTCCTGCAGGAAGTCGACGGCCGCCTGCCGCGTCATGCCCGCCGGCAGCGGCGTCACGCTGGTAAAGGTGGACTTTTTGGACATGGGAAGGGTGTGTAAGGTGTAAGTTGTCGCGGGGGGTAATTCGCTCGGTCTAGAAATCACCAAGTAGCTTCGCTTGGTATATTGATCGGTTTGGATCAGTAGGTGACAGACGACACCGCTGTCAAGGCTTCGTCACCGCACTAGTTGGAACAAAGGAAGGCAAGAAGGGTAATAGGCCAGTGGGCAGGTGCGCACAAAGCAACCGAGCGAAACTCTCAATCAGTGGATAGCGTCCTCTTTTAAGTAACGAGTCGCTTCCACGTTGCCTGATCCCTGCCATCTTGATAATCACAGCGCCCCCGGAAACCCCGTCATCCGACTTCAGCCCAAAACTATCCACCACAACTCGAGTGACGGTTGTTAATAGATGATGCCTAGGCCATCTACCTTCACCGGCTCCTCGTCAGGACGATACTCATCACCTCGTACCTGGGCTCGGAACGAGCTACCCCTGCCTTTTACTTTCCTAGTCTGATGTCTAAATTGCAGGGTAGCATTGCATCCCATGATGGCAAGATGCATTGACATGGATGAAACAGGGCTGCGCCACCAGACAAAGCCTGAGAGTATGTCGGCATTGCGCCCGCAAGGTTATTTGAGCCACTAACATATCTGGCCGATGGCGGGTGCTATTTTCGACATGCGATTGCGCCTCCCTTGACCATGGTGCTAGTTAGTGGGCTTACTATTCTTGACGAAATGGGAATGCATACCTGCTGACTGCCATGTGTCGCGCACAGGCGTAAAATATAACGCGTCCTTTTTGCTTCGGCGCTGGATGCTCGTCAACTACACGTCGACTATGTGCGTTGCTTGCCATCCACACAGCATGAGCTTGAGCTTTCTCTCAGTTCAACTAGGGGAACAAGGCAAGCAAGGTATGCCTCATTTTGTCTGAAAACGCCAACAAACAAAGCAGGAGCGCCGAGTGCCTTGTTCACCTAGCAGTACAGTCAAGTTGGAGACTTGTCATGATCGCTTGTGGTGGGCAGGAATCATGTCCGATTCTCACAACACAGATGGCCATGGCGTTCAGGAAACAATCCGGCAAGATATCCGATTCAGAAAAAAAAAACACCAAGCAAAACTACTGCTCCATAATGTCTGGTTCCGTCTCGTCAGCCTGCGACGTCGCATCTTCGTACAACTCTAGCTCCTCTGGTGGCGTAGACTGCTCTTGGGCCTGAATTTCCGCAAGCTCTGCCAGAGTGAAGCCAGGTACCGCGTCGACATAATTGTTGTTATCGTCCTCATCCTCTCCGACGTCTCCATCTTGCACCTCCGTAGCATTGACTGCTCCTTCACTGCTTGGAGCCTCGTCACTGCTCGGAGCCTCGTCACTGCTCGGAGCCTCGTCACTGCTCGGAGCCTCGTCACTACCTCCATCTCCGTCCTCATCGTCGCCATTGACAAGGCCACTACTATTACCACTGCCTCTGGATCGAGCGGGTAGTTCTCCCCCATCGGTGCTTCCTGCGCTAGCTGACGAAACAGTAACACTCAGGGGAATGTCAAAGTCCCGCATGTAGCGCTCCTCTACATCTGGAATATCATTCGCGGCATCCTTTCCGATGACGTCTGCATCTTCATCCTCCGTTTCTGAAGAAAGGATAGCAAACAGGTCGCGCGGGTCACGATCATCAACAGGCGTTGCACCACGGAGCACGGTTCGAATCCACACTGTGAGAGCGCCTGCCTGGTCGTACATCTTTTCACTGTTGACAGCCCGCAATACTCTCTCATGGTGTTGTAGGGCATGATTTTCTATGCGCAATGCCGACTCATACCTGATAGGGGGTTGTCGCGGCTGGCTGCTGTCCAGCCACATGGACGTGGATCGCCAGTAGTGCTGGAGACCACGAACTCGTTTGCGCCTGTTCAACCACTTTTCAGGTACAAGTAGACATTCAATAACCATGTTGGAAACTTCCGGGGGAATTCGTGACATGCGGCAGATTCTCTGATAGTCAATTGCTTCCTTCCACCACTCGAGGTTTTGGGGCGGCACGAAGCGTGTCGAACAAACAATATAATGAGGATCCACTAGATGAAGCTGTAGAAGTTGAATATAGCCGGATCGCGACGGCTCTTCCAGAATGGGCACTTCGAACTTGTGCTGGAGTGTATTGGGATAAGTCACCATCCGGCCCTCGGGCAGCTTGATCGTACCGAGCTCCTGAAAAGACGGCGTTTTTCGACTTGCAGGCTCGAAAGTGTTTGTCGGGCCTGGGCGAACCCCAGGGCCGGGAGCGGGAGGCCTCTCGGAGCCCCGACTCTGACAGCTCTTCCCTCTGTCTTCCCAGGTGTTGCGCTTTGTTTCTGTGCGGAATATGATACCGCCCGAGACAGGATGAAGGTTCTCTCGATGCAAACACATGACGGTGGTTGCGACAATTCGTTCGTTGCGATTGCCGTTGAGATCCCAACATAGGTATCTAGAGGTGTCCGTCAGATAACAAATGTTACAACGCATCTCTTGCTTCTGACCTACCGTGCGCTCTCCGGAGAAACGCTGCCGCCTTTGTCCAGGTTGATAGTCATTATTTCCAGATAGATCTGCAACCCACGATCTCTGAAGCCGTCGCGTAGAGACACATTGTCGTAAATTCTTCTCGAGCTGGCGTATTTTCCATCCAGGGCCATGACAGGATTCCATCCGCGTTCGAACCAGGCATTTGGCTCCACGTTATTCTGTCGGTCGTTTGCCCAGGCCGACGACTCTCGAAATTCGACAGAGCATGAGCACAAGTGGAAATTGCCGTCAGAGCAAGCTTCGCACTTGAAAGGATTTGGCTGAATCCGCGAGACACCCCGTGCCAAGGTTTTGTAGAGCAACGTCTGATTCCAGTCGTCGATTAAGTCGGACACTAAATATTCTACTGCCGTGTATATAGGCTTGTGCCTGACCGGATGCAGATTATTCACAGGCGAAATGATACTTATAGCGCCACTATTGGACGAGAACCTGACGTCCGTCGCCAGCCACTGTGATTTGCCTGAATAGTATGATGGGTGGCCGTTGTGCATGGCGTCAGGATCCCAAAAGGACAAACGACGAATGCCTCCTACGGTAATGGAGTCTAGAAAGTTGTCCCGGGTAATAAAGTGACCATCTGTTCGAATGGGAGAGATTTCAAAAGTGAATGGAAACATCCAAGGTGAAAGATGGAGAGACTGTGCATGCCGTTTGAGTTTTGTAGCAAAGTGGCTGCCCACGAAGCGATCAGACTTGCAAATTCTTGAAGCAGAGTCCAAGACAAACACGGAGCGTGACAAGCCGCCGATAAATTCGGTAGCTTTCTTTTGAAGCTCGAATAAGCACCATTCCCAAATCGAATTGTCTCTGGGAAAAATATTCTCAAAGGCTTCCTCTTTCCACGCTCGACAGGAGGAAAAGTCGCGGACGAGGTGCTGCCAGCCCTCTCGATCGGTAACATGATTGACAAGTCGCATAATTGCAATTTCTGGCTGACTCAGGCGATCTTGCCTCCAAAGAGAGAAGCCATGAGAGAATTGAAGGTAAACATAGCGCTCAAAGTTGATGCTGAGGTGAACACCTGGGACGTGGTGGGCACCTCCAAGATTCTGTCGCTCAACGAAGCTTTCGGCGCGGCGACAAACGAGGCGAGTGCTCAATTCTTTCCTCTCCACTACATACGCATCAGTAAACGAGGGTCGAGGGCGTTTGGGAGCGGGCGAACACAGACGTCTACCATGCTGGAAAGTCACACTCGCATTGACGCCCCAACTTGTCATACTGCATACAGACGTAGTCAAGCGACAGAGAGTCTCAGTATAGATAGCCCAAGACTGAACGTAAAGCGTTGTAAAAGAAACATGCAGAGAAGCGCGTCTGGGCACAGGAAGAGTGTCAGCGCAGTTTCGTCAAGATCATTCCGACCAGCTGCGTTGGTTGGTTTGGTCACGGCCAGGCTGTACGAGGGGCAGCCATCTCAGGGCACAGTGTGTTAGTTTTTTGGGGGCGCGACACGGGTATTCCATGTAGCCGTACATTACTTTACTATCTCTGTAAAAACACCACATTGCGGCCTCGCTGACTTGACTATAACATTCTACTGGGGTATCCCGTACCCTGGTGTGTTGGACTAATCGCGACGCCTACATGCCACTAGGACAAGTATTGAACTCACTCGAGGACACGCAGAAACTCTGCGGCCGAGCGCTTCCAACCTCAGCATCTTGCTTGCCTTTGACCGGTTCTCCTTTATTAGGAAGGAGAGAGTACAGCTACTTAATTGCATTAATAAGTAATTTAGGTTGCCTTTGATATGTCGTCTGGCCCGTAAGCAAAGGCTGGCGGAGACTTTATTCGCTCCGGAACCTAACTTCCGTGCCGCTCCTTTGGCTGACCCTTGGGCGCTCGTAAACAAAAGTTCCCTGTGGCGCGGGGATGCCCGTTATTAGTCGAAGCCACTGCGTTGGCCCTTGGATCTGACCAATACTAATAAAGCCCTTGATCTGAACATACATACTAATAGAGTACATGTCAGCCATGGTGCCAGTCTCTGTACTAGCCATGATCATTAGCAAGCTACTCATACACTACGTAGGTTGGTAGCGACTTGGAAAAGACTCAAAGAGGCGCTTGACGTTTTAACTACTGGGTGCGTAAGTATTGTCGGGGATTATAACCGGGCTGGCATGGCCGCTCAAAGCCCTGCATGTACCTCCTTCCTCGTCTGTAATAGCTCAGAGTACAGAAATTACCCATATCACCCAGTAGTGCAATGCAGAAATGGTACGATGACCCGCTGTCCGCATCGCATCGCAGACGGTGGCGCTTCAATTATTGACGTGGCCCACCAACCAAACGAGATCGCGGGAAGAGAAGAACAGCGCGGGGCCGAGTGACTACTGGTAAGCAAACATCTTTAAAGGATGAGAACCAGCCACAATTGAGCATCCATAACATCGCGCGCCTCCATTGTTACCTCCGTCGGGTATCTGTCGCGTGCGATCACCGAGCCTCGTATAGAGAGACCTTGTCACTGATACGACTTACGTACAAGAACCGTCTCAAGCCCCCCGCTCCAACACTCATGGTTCCTTCTACGCGGGTGCATATTACTTGGCTAAAGAGTCCTTTCACTTTCATACCATCTTCATACAATCTCCCATCAACACAGTCGCATATACAATGTTGGCAACACGTCTTCTGCTCCTGGCCACTGCCACCCTCTTCTCTTCCGCTTTTGCGCTGCCAAGTGAGTCCAGCAGAAATCTGCAACGACCATCAACAGAACAGCTGACTGTACAGCAGGCTTGAAGGGCAACCCGAAGACCGAGGATGCCAACATCCGCTCTGTAGCCTCGGAGGATGCATCTTGAGCAATGAGTCCCCCAAGCCGATAAACGACCTTGACTCGCTTTGCTCTGTCTCTTGTTATTGTAGGCTATCTGTCATATATCATAGTGCTATTCGTTCAATAAAAGGCTCCAAATTAGTGCATATGCCCGTATAGTTATTTTGACTGACATTGCAACTGGCAACAAGTGCAGCTCACAGTCGACTCTTGCGTGGGCGGCCGCCACGGCGTCGCATTGGGGGTTCGCCGAGCTTCGTCAATCTATATCAAGTGACTCTCCGTACGAGTTTCTGTGGAGCTAGTTAATCCTATGCAACGGAAAGTAGTAATGGGTACTGTTGTTTGAAGGATTGAATGAAGCCTGCGCAAGCAGCCCAGCCACCGAGGCTGAGAGCTGGGTCTGGACCCACTTCTCCAGGCACCACCTTCAAGCCTTCAAGTGGCGATGGAGATGGAGGCATCCACACAAGGTTAACATCAATCATTACTCTGTAGAAGCTTCATTAATATCCATTTGTTATCCCTTATCGACCCACGACATGTCCGCCTGTACACCGACAGCTAACTACTCCCAGGAACCTTTGAGCAACCAGTTCGACCCGCCCCCAGTCCCGTAGCCCGATTCCCCCGCAAAAATGCTTCCGCCAATGTCCCAACCAACCAACCCTTTTCCTCACCCATCTCTTGTCTTTGTATTCAAATTGTGAGGCTGCTCCGCGGCGTCCGTACCAATGTTCTCGCAAGCCGACCATTGGTTCTGGCCCGTAGCCCTGCCCATCTTCGATTTCAGCTTGAAATTTGAGGAGACTATCCTCCAACTACTGCCCTCTTGCTCGTTCCTTCTTTTTGCATCGGCCACTTTCCTGTACTACTGGAACACAAAAGCTCGAATTCGCCGGAGCAGACTGCTGTGGACAAAACTGGTAGGTGCTGCTGACTCCCCCGTCTAAGAGGCAGTGCATCATCGCTAACAACTTCTGCCTGTAGGGCGTTTCGCTTGTCCTCGTTGCCCTCGAGCTCACTAGCTTGGTCTTGCGTTCTCTATCGACCAATGGTACTGAAACCACCTCATCAGCTGCCTCGCTTGACTTTGTTGCCGCCTTGGCCATTGCTGGAGTGGTGTATGTTGAACATGGACATGCCATCAGGACCTCGGCGCTTCTCGGTCTCTACCTTGGTATCGGCATCCTAATCGATGTCATCAAAAGCCGCTCGTACTTTCTACGCAGTCTGGCATCTTCCGGGGCTGTCGCAGCGGCAGCGGCCACCGCGCGACTTGTTTTGGTGATTGTCGAGGAAGTACCAAAGACCACTCTGATTATCGACCCCGAGCTTCGTACCATGTCTGATGGCGAAGCTACCTGTGGATTTTATAGCAGAATATGCTTTCTCTTCCTCCGACCCATGATGCGCCTTGGATATCGTGGTATACTTGTCATAGATGACTTGAGCGACCTGGGCATCGAGTTTGCTTCGAGATGCCTCTTTGCCGAGCTATCAGACAGCTGGCCAACGTCGCAACGGGTCTCGAGACACGCCTTATGTACCGCCTGTTTCAAAGCCTGGAAATGGTCCATATTCCTTATTTTCGCTCCGCGGCTATTTGTCAGTGGCTTCATGTACTCTCAGCCCTTCGTCATGCGTTCTGTCATCAGTGATATTGGAAAGCCCGATGAGGGTCAAAAGGGCGGCCTTATTGCCGCCGTCTTGTTCGCCTTCTCTGGACCTGCTATATGCCGAGCTGCCTCGACACAGCTAAAGAATCGCCTAGTCACCCGAGTTCGAGGTGGATTGTTTTCGCATATTTTCGACAAGTCTTACCGGCTTGAGGTGTCCGAAGCAAAAAAGCAGGCTGCGATAACCTTGATGAGTGCCGACTTTGAGAGTATCGCCGAGGGCATCCCTGCTTGCATTGAAGTTCCTTTTGCGATTCTGGAATCTTGTCTGGGTGTTTATTTTCTCGCTCATTTCGTTAATCTGTCGTGCTTGGTGGTTTTTGCGCCGCTACTTTTCACTCACATCATTGGTGTCATATTTGGCAATGCCTCGTCGTCTGCCGTGGCGTTCTGGAATGAGAAAATTGAGATGAGAGTGACGAGGACGTCTCAAATTCTCTCTCAGCTTCCAGCTATCAAGAGCCTTGGACTTGGCCCCCAAATGGCACAGTTCATCCAGCATCTTCGAGTGCTGGAAACAGCTGCGTCGACGAAATACCGCTGCATCCAGGCCGCATCCCTTTCCGCAGCTGTACTGATTGATCAGTTTACGCCTGTCTTGGTTGTTGCAGTCGGAATATTCGCGCATGTGCTCGGTGATAGGCTTGACCCCGAGATTGTCTATCCAACTTTGGGCGTCCTGACACTGGTGCAAGGACCTCTCGCGGATCTACTCACAATGTACCCCGAGGCCATGTCTATGCTGGGTTGCTTTGACAGAATCCAACAGTTTCTATGCCAAAATGAGCACAAAGATCCGCGCGTGGTATCGCGCAAGTGCAATGAAACGCACCAAGAGAAGCCATCATCACCCGGCCTGCAAAGCAAGTCGGAGAAGTTTGCCCTTCAGACCTCGTTTGCCGTAGTCTGTTTTGAACAAGCGAAAATCGCCCCGAGAGGATCAGAGGAAGTAGTCCTCTCCGATGTGGATTTCTCTATTGATGCTGGATCAATTACGTCCATGTTCGGTCCTACATGTTCTGGAAAGACAACCTTGTTTGAAAGTATGCTAGGCGAGGCAAACATTCTTGAAGGGAAAATATTTGTCGACGAAACGGTCGTGGCTATGGCGTTTTGTGGCCAAGACGTGTATTTGCCAAATGGCACGGTGCGTGCCTGCATCGTTGGGACTTGTGAATATGAACCAACTTGGTTCAACACTGTCGTAACATGCTGCAGGTTATCCGAGGACCTTGGGCGACTACCAAATGGCGACAACTACATCATTGGTAGCGGCGGTATTGCTTTGAGTGGTGGACAACGCCAAAGGATTGGAATCGCACGAGCTGTCTATGCACGTGCTCGCGTGGTTCTCTTGGACGATGTCTTCAGCGCTATAGACAGAAAAACAGCACTCGCGATCTTGTTTGGCCTATGCGGTGAGAACGGTCTCCTTCGTCAGCTGAATTGTACAGTGGTGGTCTCGAGCTACTTGGCCGAATGTCTCGACGTTGCCGACAACCTCCTCCTCCTTGCCGGCAATGGCAGCGCCTCCTTTGAGCCCCGCGAGTGCAAAGGCAAGCTAGAGGCACAGGTGGCTTGTCTTCTTCACCAGGGGCTGCTTGAACCAAAAGAGGGCTCTCCTGACCAAGAGGCTCGAGGAGCAGACCAGGCCGAGCATCCGGCTGCCACCTCAGCTATTGGTGTCCAACGCATGGACGAGTCTCGCCAGAAAGGAGATAAAGACCTCTACATTCTCTGGATTGATTCGGTCGGGCGTCTGGCGATAACCCTTTTCACCTTGCTGATGATACTGGTGGCCGCGTCGGATGCATTTCCCTCCATCTATATCAGAGTATGGATTGACATCGCCCCGGGCAATAAGAAGTACCTCATTGGGTATGCCTTGATAGCGGCATCTGCTGGTCTACTCGCTGGTACCTGTCTAGTCACCATGTTCACCAAACTTGCTCCTCGTGCTTCCAACGGTCTCCATGAGAAGCTAACCAGTGCGGTGACACAATCTACGCTTGGGTTTCTAAGTACTACCGATTCGGGAGACCTTCTAAACCGTTTCAGTGAAGACATGGAGTTGCTTTCAAAACGCGTACCAACTCAACTGTATTCAACGCTGTATAGCTCCCTGGGAGTTCTCGCCCATGTAGGAGCGGTTCTAGCTGGCACGACATATATGGTCTCGATATTACCTATCGTCGCATTTTTCCTCTTTTTCATACAGCGCTACTATCTTTATACCTCTCGCCAGCTCCGACTCCTCCAAATCGAGGCGCAAGCACCTCTGGTAACCTCCCTTCGTGATATTGGAACGGGCCTGGCCTATATCCGTGGGTTTCGCAGCGAAGAACAAGAATTTGCTCGCTGCTTGTACTTGCTGGATCGTTCACAAAAGCCATACTATGCGTTGCTCTCTTCACAGGCATTCCTGTACATGGTTGTAGAACTCGTTGTCGCACTCATGGCCGTGGTTCTTACAATTCTTGCACTATATGTGACGGATTCGACTTCCCCAAATGCCGCGGGTCTTGCGTTCTTGAACCTGATCAATCTTGGTACTGGCTTCAATATGGTTGTCAATGCCTGGACAGCAATGGAAACTGCAGTTGGCTCTCTCTCGAGGTTGCGCAACTTTCTGAGAGACACTCCGACAGAACAGAGGGGCAAAGCGGCGGACCTCCCAGAAAATTGGCCTTCGAGAGGCGAGGTTCTATTTGACAATGTGACCGCCCGCTATAAGCTGGACTACAAAACTGAGCAGGCTGCTGTGCTTCAAGGTATTCATCTTCAGATAGACTCCGGGAAGAAGATTGGTATCGTGGGACGCTCAGGCAGTGGCAAATCCTCTCTGCTGCTCTCGCTTCTCGGGTTCCTAGAGTACGAAGGCAAAATAACCATTGACGACGTGGATGTGAAGACTGCTCATCCAGATCAGCTCCGCACTCGTGTCATCACAATCTCACAGGATCTGGTCGAGCTGGACGGCACAATTCGAGACAATATGCTACCGTATGACAAGTGCTGGGCTGGGACAAAGCCGGTCAATCCAGGCGCGGAACAGCAGCGGGAAGCCGAGCGGAAAGACCACATTGTGCGGGAGACACTTGTGCGGTTAGGAATCTGGGAACGACTACCCGCCAAAGGTGGCTTGGACGCCATCCTGGACAAGGTTGGATACTCGCACGGAGAAAAGCAACTGCTCTGTATCGCGAGGGCTGTTGTGCGCCGGCGCTTGACGAATAGCAGGCTGGTGCTGGTGGACGAAGCCACAGCCAGCGTCGATAGTTGGCGGGAACAGATTGTGCGGGAGATGATGCTGGAGTACTTTCGAGATTGTACCATCATTGTGGTTGCGCACCGCGAAGAGACCGTCGCAGACTCCAATCGCACAGTGCACATGGCCGGCGGCAAGATTGAACATGTCGACGACTGGGATCATTGGCGGGGCTAGTCGCACTTGGTCGAGTTCTTTTCTCTCTGTACATGTGTTTTGGATGTGCCTCGTAGTACGTAAACAGTGGTGACTGATGAAGACGGATGTATGCGTTGATAGAATTACACTATCCTCGATCGAATTAACAAAAAAAAAAGAAATTACCAAACGCCGTCGCTGAGGTTCTGGTTAAGCCCGATGCGAAACCCTGACCGTTTTTTCCTCGCATGATTTCTTTTTACAACAAGAGCGTTTCCTTCCCTGACTCCGAGCACCCTTGCGCCCCTATATCGCCGTCGGCGCAGCGTCCTTTCGCCAGCCCTTGGAGCGCATGTTGAGCTCAATGGTGTTCCAGATGGACTCGACGGCCTCCTTGTCGCGGAAGCGGGAGCTGTCGAGGCCGTGGCCGCGCCAGCGGTCGACGGGGGCGGCGAGGACGCGGTGGCCCCAGTCGCGGACGGGGTCCGGGGGCAGGTCGCCGCGCCAGCCGACAAAGATGCCCTGGACGTGCTTGAAGAGCTCGTTGGGGTTGCTCCACTTGTAGTTTTTGAACTGCCAGGTCTGGCCGGTGGTGAAGACGGCGGCGACGCGGTTCCAGTACTCGGGCTTGAACTGCTCGGGCCCCTCGACGAGGATGAAGCGCATCGGGCGGTGGGGGTCGACGCTGCGGATGACGCGCTGCACGTGCAGCATGCTGACGGTCGAGGCGCCCGCGTCGGGCGGCACAAACTTGCCGTCCTCGAGAAAGGACCGCGCGTTGGACATGCGCAGCAGCGACGACGCCGACGGCGACAGCAGGATGATGGGGTCCGGCCGCCGCTGCGGGCCCTTTTGGTTGAGCGACAGCGCCGTGTTGGCCACCAGGCTCGCCGTCGACTGCGTCTTGCGCTGGAGAAAGGGTTCGGCGAGCTTGCGCACGTGGGAAAAGTCCTGTACGCCAAGGCGATGAAGGAATTAGCTTTGAGAACCTGCGGTTGGCTCCTCTTTGCGCTGCCAAACTCGGGGCTAGAGGACAACAACACCTACCGTAGGTTTGACGCCCCGCAGGACGGTATTGCGGTCTCCCATGCGGCGCTCGCCGTCGTAGATGCTCGCGAGTCGCGGGTCCAACGTGCCCTTGCCGCTGCGCGCCTGGACAGCGGCGGCGGCTGCAGCACCGGCCTTTGTCGCGGGGGCGGCGGCGGCGGCCGCTGCTGCCTCGGCGTCGCCGACGAGGGGCTTGATGTACTCGGACTCGTCGCTCGCGCCCTCGAGCCAGGTGATGAGGTCGAGGCGCTCGATGAAGCCGAGGTTCTGGACGCGGGCGCCGGCGGCGCCGAGCTCAGCGTTGAGCGTCGCCGCCGCCGCGTTGTATTCGGGAATGGCCAGCTCGCGGTTCAGCCAGGCAAAGTAGATGGAGCGCAGGTCGACCGGCTGGTCGCTGGAGATGAAGCGCGTCGGCGCGTCCATGCGCAGCGCCGACGGCGCCGCGTCCGCAAGCAGCAGGTGGCTCGCCTGCGCGAGGCCTACCTCGGGGGAGCCCGCCTCGCTCGACGCGCTCGGCACAATGGCCTGCCCGGCCGCGATGACCTGACGCAGCCGCAGCAGCGGATCTTGCTCGTTGACCGCCATTGTCTGCTGCTGGAGAAGGGGGGACGCCGGTGGTGGGTTGACGATGGCAAGGGAAAGCTATCGGAGGAGAGTTTTGAGCTTTCTTGTGACGCTGGCAGGCAAAGGCCCGGGCATCTGTGGCGCGGGCGCACGAATACGGCTTAGCGCGTGTCTGACACTGTGGCGACCTGCTGTGAGGTAGCATTTGACAAAATATTATTGCGAATGCGAGGAAACGAATTGTAATTGTATCCGGTGATCTCTTGTATAAAGTTGATTTGTATCCTTCTTCAACTTGATCAATTATTCGGAATCATCATTTCATGGTGGGTAGTAGTACGTGAGCAAGGAATCCACCACCAACAACTAGCACATATATCAACAGGCGGTGGCCCATTTACAACATGTTCCAATATCTATGTACTCTTGTCATAATACTTTTATAATATGTATGCTAGAATCCGCAAAAGACAAGGCCGTGGCGGGCGTTCCTTCCATTGTCAGAAACACAATCCAAACCCGCATCCCACAGCCGACCGACCCCCGAAGCCGAAAGAGAAATGATGAAGTAATAACAACAGTCGCTCAGCCCTTGTCATGCACAAAATGACCCGAAAACGCCAACCCATATAGTCTTTCTGGAGACTTTTTGTTTGTATGTTCCACATGAGTCTTTGCTTAAATACCAAGAACGAGCTTCATTCTCTCGTACGTATAGAAGCTCACTGCCGCCAGAGGAATCACCTTGACGTATCCAATCGTCAACCCGACAAAGAAGCCGCGGAATCCGCGCTCTTTGAAGATCATGCCCGCCGTTTCGCCAATGCGCAAGCGGCGGCCGTCGCCCACGGCTCCGCCGACCTGCATTCGCCGACGAATCACCTCGAGCGGGTACGAGGCCGTTTGTGAAATCAGGCCGGCGACGCCACCCGCGCACAGCTCCGCCCAAGATCGCAGGGCTGCGGGCTTCCCCGGCGGATGGTTTGCCTTTTTCGGCAGGGTGGTGTAGGCGGCAAGGGCGGGCTGTCGCAGCAGGTCAGTGGCCGTGTCGTGCGTCAGGAAGGACATGCCGGCGTAGGGGAGCATGCCGAGGATGGTCGGGGAGAAGCCGCGATAAAAATTGACCAGTCCCCGGCGTGGCGTCACGCTCTCAACCACTTTGGCCGACTCGTTGGCGACGCTGCCTGGCGCGCTGGGTAACCTCGCCGTGGCGGCCTTGTCCACGGGATGCTCGTTGTATATTTGGCGGCAGATGGAAATGAGGGGCGATCGGCCCTGCGACTTGGTCTCAAAGGCCAAGCGCACTCGGATCACCTCGAGAGGGTATGTGAAGAAGACGGAAGTGACGCCCGCTAGACTGCCGCTGAGAAGCCGGCGCAAGGGTGTCTCGTACTTTTTGTTGGGGATTAGAACGGCTCGTATTTGCTCATAGGCCAGGAACTTGATGCCGGCGTAGGGGAAAATTCGAAGAAGCGTCGCCGAGTGCCCGCGAAATAGCCCGCGACTGCCTTCGTGGCCGTAGATATCTCGCATGGCCGACAAGACGCCAAAGGACGAGCCGGTATACTTGGCAAACTGCGGGTTGCTGGCCTGGAAGAGGATCTTTACTCTATCGAGCGGTGCGACCAGAGTTTTTGCCTAGATTTTGTAGTGTTAGCACAAGAGTCTGCCACCACTAGATGCATTCATTCATTCCACAGCAGTGAAGACGCTCGCGATCGAGTGTTTGGCGGCGGCTTCTCAACTGGGGTGTGGGGGGTTTGTTTCGGCTTACAGCGCAACCGGCAACTCCTCCAGCGACGCCTGATCGCCAGGCATAGTCAAAGGAAAAGGTTTTTGATTTGGGTATCATCTTGTTCTCGTCGTCGGTCGGGCAGAGGGCGGGATCGGCCTTGGTGTGCTTGGTGGCGACGCCATGGTGCGCTTTGGACTGGGCGGCTTGGGCCATGGACGAGAGGTCCGCCGCGTACGTCTGCGGCATCGCTCGAGGGCGGACCTGGTGGGACAGGGAAAAGGCGGCGGGTAGAGGGAGACGGGTTGGACGTGGAGGCTATGGAATAGACATGCCCGCTTTGCAAAGGTCGGAATGAGGGAAGAGAGAGAAGAAGAAAAGAGAGAGGCAACCGCAACGGCGCGGGGGGAAGAGGGAAATTGTCGTGTGTCGGTTGTCAAAGGTGAGATTAGTCTGGGAAGTGTGTCGGGTGCCACCCGCAACGAAGGACGGACTTGGGGAGGCTTCCAGGCTTAATTATTAACAGGCTTGGAGGCGGCTGGCTGTGGGGAGCCACTGGAGCAAATAGCAGTCGCTGTTTTGGCGATTATCCGGCTCCCCGGAAAAATAGGTGCGTCATTCGCTCATCTATTCCCCAGAACGAACTACCAGTAGAACCCAGCATGACCGAACCCGCCTGGAATAAATTACAAAAAATACACTGTCGTGGCCATGGTCGGCCTTTTCGAGATTCAATTTTTTTTTTTTTTTAACTATTTCTCCCACCATCTTCAGTGGATTTGGCACAGTCCCCCAGAATTGTACTTTGCCCTTAACCCACCCCAGCCGAAGCCGACAATTACCGAGAAATACTCGTTCTAGTCGGCGTTATGCCGAGCACCCGCCCCGTTTGCAAAACCACCACCACAACGCCGCCGCCGCCAATCCCGACCCTGTCTGTCCATGTCGGCATCCTCGCCGGCTTTGTCCATTTCTTCTCAGTTCTCACTATGCAGGCCATGTAAGCTGCAGCACACCCCCAACCAACCAAAAAGAAGAAGAAGAAAAAAGCTGCTACCCCAAACATCCTCCTTTCATGCAGCAGCTGCAGCACCCGCCCAAAGCCGCCTCTGCCCAGCTGGCCCCGTCGTCCGTCCTCTACCGTACCACAGACGGCGCCACCGTCGTGCTCGACATCCCCCGGTCGCTAGAGGAGAGCCAAGTCCGTCCCGGTGCAGAATCCTCTGCGCGATGCCGCATCTACTCCTCCGCGGCCCCGACCGCGCCGTTTGAGACACCAGAGCCAGCCACGGGCATAGGCCCGGATGCGTCCCCGGCAGCCCGGATTGCTATACTGATGACGGCAGAGCGCCTTCGACACACACTCGAGGCTGTCGCGCAGGAATATACAGCCGCATACTGCCTGCCACGGCAAATCACCCCGGAGCCATTCCCACCGTCGCCGCCCGCCGCCGACTGTGCCCCCTACATCCCGCCCGACGCAACCCCTCTCCACGGCTCCATCCTCGAAAGGAGGCATTCCTTCATGAAGCGCGCGCCTACATTTCATCTCATCGTCGTGGACCCGCCCTGGCCGAACCGCTCCGTGCGCCGCACGACCGCGACGTACAAGACGGCCGCGTCGCTCTCGGGAACACAGAACCTGCTCCGCGCCATCCCCGTCCGCGCACACCTCGCCGACGACGGCCTCGTCGCCGTCTGGATCACCAACAAACCGCGCATCGTAGACTTGCTCGCCGCCCCGGGCGGCGTCCTGCACGCATGGGGCGTAGAAGTCGTAGCCGAGTGGACGTGGCTCAAGGTCACCGCCGCCGGGCAGCCCCTGTACCCCCTCGACTCGGCCTGGCGCCGGCCCTGGGAGAAGCTCCTCGTAGCGAAACGCGTAGGCCGTCCCGCCCCGGACGGGCTGGCCCCCAAAACCATCATCGCCGTGCCTGACGTGCACTCGCGCAAGCCCAACCTCCGCGGCCTGTTTGGGGACGTTTTCGGTTCTGGCTACACCGGCCTAGAGGTCTTTGCACGGGGCCTGACATCCGGATGGTGGAGCTGGGGCGACGAGGTGCTCAAGTTTCAGCAACCACAGCATTGGCACACAAAACAGACACAGGAGTCTAGTACGACATAGGTAAAATTTTCAATATCATATACAGGGCAGCCATATCGGTCCGCCACGATGCTACTACATGTGTGCGCGTCGCGCATGCGCTAAAAGTACAATGCCAGCTTTTTTGCACCTCCTCACATGAAGAGTCCCTGTGCAAGCCCCCCCCCCCCTCTCTTCAATATCCAAACACAAGCCCTTATTGCTCAGGTTTGGGATTTGTTCTTGTCGCTGCGTCCTTGGCGTCCTTTTCCAGGGCAATCCTCTCCGCGGCCGACTCTTTCTTCGCGCTGCCCGGCTTGGCGCCAGCCGTCGCCTCCTGGACGATGGCGTCCCACTTGGAGTCGAGCTGCACCTGGTTGGACCACTTCTTCCGGCCGGAGAGCAGGTCCTTGGCCAGGCCGGCCAGCTTCTTGCGCTCCTCAGTCCGGGGCTGGCGGCTCGCCATCGGGATGATGCGGTTGGCGGCGTTGTACTGGTCGTCGCGGCGCGCCGCAAACGATGCCTCGCGCATCTCGAACAGCTCGTGGTTCCACGGCGCCCGGTCCGCGGGCAGCGCGGGCCACTGGAACGGCTGCGCCAGCTCGACCGTCATGATCTTGAGCGCCTGCGGCCGGTACGTGGAGCCCGGCCGGTTCGGGCGCTCGGCCAGCGGCCGCCCCTTGACGTACGACCGCACCGTCTTGACCTCGACGTTGTACAGGTTCCATAGGTAGTCGCGCAGATCGAATTTCGTGAATGTGATGGGCACCTGGAAGCAGGCTTCGTTGGCAGGAAGATGCTCTTTGTGCAGCATGGTGATGATGTGCGTTGGCCTGGGCAGGTTTGTCTCGTTAGCTGTGGTCCTTTTCGTGGTCCTTTGTTCCAGGGATTGAACAAGGGGGAGCATACAGATAGACCTGTCGCTGTCCAAGCTTGAAAGCCGGTAATTGGCGCGCGGCCGCTGCCTTGACCGCTTCCGCCATTGCGATTGTTTGTATTTGTGATTTGTGACGCTGCGTGATGCACTGGCGTCGCGATAAATTTGTCCCAAAAAGTCCATCACACAAGAGTTGTGGCTGGTGAGATGTTGTTACTAAGCAGAAATGTGGCGGGGCGCGGATGGGTCGGCTGTGTGTCCGTCCACCAGTCCGTCCACAGTCCGTCCCAGCCTGACCACCCATTCACAATGCGATCCCTTCTGCGCCCCTCATCACTCACTGCTATTTACTGAGTAACTCCCTTATTGAAAGGGGGAAAAAAAACTTGCTTGCCTGAAGCTATCGGCCTTAGTGCGACCCGCGTGACCACAAAACGTCATAGTAGATGCTGTGCACCCATTGCAACTAGTTGTCATTGTATAACCGTCTAGTTTAAAAAGATCCGTGTGCGCAGACATCGCAACACCAGGAACCATGCTACTCCATAGCTTGGATCGTCAACAGCCCGGTGCCGCCGATGCCCGTCCGTCATGTCTCCCGAACCCCCGACACAGACCCGCCCGCTCACGTCGTGGAACCAGGCCGCGCTGCGCGGCTATATACGACAGGTCCATTGCTTCGAGACAAATGGCGGCCGTGCGGCCCTGGACAAGCTGAGTGAGACCCTTGACGAGGCTCTCCGATGTGTGTGCTTGCGCACGCCTCACATGGCTGGGAAACTGTCTCTCTCCAAGGAACAGCCGGGGGCGATCCTTCTGCATACGCGTGATGACGATCATGTCACGCGGGTGGCGTGTGACGCGCGTAGCGACAAGAGCCTAGTCTATGCAGAACTCCGAGACAAGGGTTTTCCGGCTGGGGCGTTTATCGGGCCCGTGTTCGATACCCCAGGCATTCTTTCCGAACAAGGTCCTCCGATTCCCGTTACCTGCTTTAAACTCATTCTGGTGGATGGCGGGATACTCATGTGTATCTTCGTCTACCATTCTGTCACGGATGGGGTGGGCGTCAACAACTTCCTCTCTGCTGTAGCGACGGCAATGAGAGACCCGAAAATGTCTCCGGTAGAACCGCTGAGGTATCCAAGCAGGATTGACACTCCGGTGCCGTCCAACTCAAAGGCGAAGGGTAAGGACGCCGAAGTCGCCAGAAGATTGAGCCAGCGGTGTCCAGAACTCACTTTGGCACAACCTGGCACTGATCATGGAAATTACATGGCCAGTATATACGGTGTGTCTAAAGTCAAATTTGGCGGCATCTTCGTATTCGGCCCGGAGAAGGTGCGGTTGGCCAAAGATGCCATCATGTCTGCCGGTTATCACACCAAGCCGTCGACATTCTCCTGTCTGGCCGCCCTTTCATGGGCATTCATGACCACCACGCGGCTTCGAACGGTCGGCATTGCGGATAAGTCGAGAAAAGACGACACAAGGTGCCGTGTCTTTATACCGACTTGGTGGGGAGACCGACTGTTCCAGAAGCAACTGAGCAGCTATGGCGGAAATGCAGTGGCCTTTACGGAAGCCGAGCATGGCGCCACGGACCTGTTCATAATTTCGGAGCATCTTTCCACTGACTTGTTACATGCCAAAGGTGCGCTCATGCGGGTGGTGCAGGCCATTGAAGCGACGCTCGCCAACGTCGACGAAGAGTTTGTCAAGACGCGCTCGACGCTCTTCAACAGCGTCCCCGACCCGCGGCAGCTCCAGTACAGCTTCACGCCGTCTGATCCCACGCAGCTCTTCTTCAACTCGTGGCGGCGGCTGGGCGCCGATGTTGAGTGGACGATCCCAACGGCTGCCGGCGCCAAGCGGATGACGGCCGACGCGGTACGCAAGAGCCAGAGCGAATGGAACGAGAGCGCAGGCTTGATCATGCCGGGTAGGCGAGACAAGCTGGAGTATGAGGCTGTTTTGAGTTCAGATGCCGACTCCATGAATGCGCTACGAAACAACGCAGCATGGAAGAGCTGGGTTGACAGTGAGATTTTTTGATGGCTGGTAGGTCGGGGGCTTTGCCCTCGTCCCTCATATACGAGCTTTGTTAGTCGATGACGTCTCTTGTCAAAAGAGACTTTGTTAGTTCCGTCTCTTATCGAAAGAGAATCCTTTAGATACAGATAGGAATAGACTTGGATTGATTCAAACACACAAATGTCTGCTATAATGTGAGAAGATTACCGTTATTATCCTCCCCTCATCCCTCGACCCACGCGCAGCCGGTCATGCCCACGTCCGGTCGAAATCGCCCAGCTCTGATCGGAAAGGCCCTGCTCAGCAGTTGTCTTCTGTTGTCGGCGGTCCACTGACCAGGGACGTACTCGCGCTCGAGAAAGTCGAATATTTCCATGTCCTGAAGGCTTCTATGCCCTATCCAAGCTGTGTCTTGGAGGTCATAAAGCATGGCCAACCTGCACATGTTGCCGAGATGGTTAGAACTGTATTTCAACCAAGCGGCAGAATAGCGGCCATGGTTAGGACTTACATGTGGTATCGCCGTCCGCACAGAAAACCCGACTCCAATGGCATCATTTCGTACTTGTGCCAACCATTGAAGAAGAGCGTTTCAAGGACCGCCTTGGCTGTCAGGCTCTCCCGGTGGCAGTAGTACGTCTGTCGGTGCAGGAGGTCCAGAGGCGTGGACTCGTAGCAGTCCATGATTTGCAGCGTCAGAATCCCGCACCCGCCCGTCCTGACATTCTCGCACGGCTGCATGCTCAGGCACGCCTGCATAGTTTCCCCCTCAATCACCAGAAACCACTGGTTCTTTGGGCTTGTGTTGTCAGTCAATTCCACAGGCCCGCGGCACCGGTGGCTCTTTGAGCTGACATGAGTGAGGGCGTCGACGTGAAAGCGACGGACAGTCTGCAGCAGGATCGGGTGGTTCCTCGGCACGCCGTTGGAGTAGAGAGTATCGTGGGTGAGCCAGAATGTATCATTCCAGTTTCTGGTGTTCATGTTTGCTCTCGTGCTGTTTTATAAAGGGGATTGTGGTAGAACATATGCGTCCCAGGTCTTTCAGACAACCGGCCAGGGTATATATACACGCAACATTTACCCGATCCATGGTGAATCAAGGTACTACAGTACGACAGCGCCTGCATTTATTGAGCAAACAAGGTGGAAAAAAGCAACACAGTGGACTCGACGGTTTCAGACGCCGCAACACGGCGCGCGGTAGACATACGTGCTACAACGCGAGTGAGATGCGGTTGGCCGCCGCTGTGAGACCGACTCTGTAGTGTAGCACGAGCTGACGGCAGAATCGACCCCCAAGTACCGTCACTATAATCAAGAAGTAATCTCTGTCGGCATAGTTCGATATGATATGGCAAATGATACATCTTTAACAAACAGCAATCTGATGGTCGTTTTGTTGTAGATGAAGCGATCATGCTGTGGGGTAATCCGATCTTGTAATACCTTGCACGTTTCGCAGAGTTTGATCTTGCGCCTTGGACTTGGCCTTGTTGATTGGGTAAATATAGAAGAATGGTATAAAACACGAATATTTTAAAGAAAATCAAGACATGGTACTGCCTGCGTTTGCTGTATTGTCAAAGACGCTTGCAAGTGCCTGTAACGGCAGCCCCACTCCATTCATGATGGCCTCTCACTTGAAGCGGCGGCGTCATCTTTCTCTCATGAACAAAGACACAGCGCATTTCAGCTCGCGAGCCCTCTTGGAAGCGCAGGGCACCAAGACACCTAAAAATGGACGACACTGCAGCCCCAAAGCCGGGAAATAAAAGCGCAGCCGCCGCCACCGCCGATGCGCCGTCCACGGCCAGCGCAAACGCCTTGACAGGTGACGACGACGACCCGGATGCGCCACGCAGCAACCACAGCAGCCCGCGGCACAAGACCACCTCCCCGACCGACATGGACCTGTGGACACAGCTGGAGCTGGAAAAGTCGAAATACCCCGGCGCGAGTACCTGGGCCCCCGACGAGGAGCGGCTGTTTGAGCTGCTCTTCTTCCGGCAGGCCCTGCCGATCCTGCCCTCGCACTGGGAGCTCGACCTGAGCGCCGTGCCCATTGCTGAGGTCAACTTTGCCGGCATCGACGATCCCGAGAAGCGACCCATCGTGTACGCTCACTCCAAGGACTTTCTAGGTATGTGCCCCCCTCATGGCCGACGGCACCCCTCCTAGCCAACAACCGGCAACGGCTAACACCTGATGGCACCACCACAACAGCCACTACAGCCCTTGTGCGCCTCATTGAGCTCACCGCCGCCGTCCGTACCACCAGCGAGTCGGGCCTGCACCACCGCGTGCCGGGCATGATCAAGGACGGCCTGGACCGGTTCCTCGCGTGGGCGGCCGAGGACGGCGGCTACCACCACCGGCGCGTGGTGCCCAACATCATCACCGAGGTCGTCGACACCCGGATGCCGGAGCACGCTATCACCGAGCTCCTGCAGGGTCGCATGCGTGCCCTGGCGCGCCTGCAGCGCGAGTTTCTCCGCGAGGACCGCGACTCCGACTTTTGGCGCAGCGGCGGCATCACCACCACCACCACTACCGCCGCCGCCGACGCTGCCAACGCGGCGACCGCCGTCGGCGCAGACAGGAAACACTTGCTGCTGCAGAGATACCTGTCGCCGAGACGAAATAGGCATCCCAGCAGGTACCATCCGGGAAGCGCCGCCGCGAACCAGCGCCGCCGCGGCGCCCACCCCGTGGCGGAGGACGAGCTCGCGCGAGCACCGCACCCGCAGCAGATGGCCGGTCACGACACCGCAGCGCCTAAGCGACGCCGCATGCTGGCCAGCACCAGCCCGACCGACCTTGACGAGCTCGCCCAACCCGGCGACCCCGCCACGATGATGTCGCCCTCCCCGCCGAGCGAGCGGCTTCTCTTCTCCTCGCCGTCGCCGGCGGGGCCCTACGGCCGCAGCCCGGCCGCAGTCAAGTACCGGCGGCAGCCGCCCGTGGTGTACGGCTTTTTTATCCTCAACAGCTCCGTCTTCATCCTCACGGTGGACGCGTCGCTAGGTGATCACGCGTACGTCAGCTTCCACGTCGAGGCCGACTTCATGGAGCACCGCCAGAGCGTCTGGAACGCACTGACGCTGGCCATGGTGGCGTGCCTCGCGCGCGACGAGATGCGTGAGCGCGCCGACGACTTTGAGGAGCAGCCGGAAGAGGAGGACAGCGATCCCGATCTGTAACGAGGGTGCAACGCGGGGGAGGGAGGGCCTTTGGTTCTCGATTCCATGTTTGGCATGTGTATTTTATTTGAGCTGATTTGCATCCTCTGGAAGGTTGTACGCGTTTTTGTTTTTACCGTGTAAACTACACGCAAGATACCCCATGATAGATAGCTTCGCTTTGTGGCCGGAAATAGCTGAGACTGTAAGTTTAGGACGACAATGATGAATGAAATCGGAACTGTACAATTATAACATGTGTTGCATCTGAGTTTTCCAAACTCTCATTCTTTCGTCCCCTCCTTCTAATCTATGAATGTCGACTCAAGAAAACATGTCTTGAATGCGTAGGGAGCGGTGTGTTGACAAAGCCGCCTCAAGTCTATATATGCCACTCCAGAACGCCAAACCAAAAGGATTTTCTTCTCTTCTTCTGGTGTCCCACTGTGAAAATGAAATAAATATTACAAGAAATGTCCGGGCATGAAAATGTACATCAAGCCGTTACCCGCTCATCTTTTTCGAAACCAAATCGTACAAATGGACGCAGCATGTATCATGCATCGCCCGCATCCTCTCCCTGTCCGACCACATCCGGGTGTGGTTCTTCTTTGCAGGTCGTCAATGTTATTACAGGTCTTTTTCCTTGTCGACGGGCATCCAGACACCGAACTGCCGTAAGAGTCGTTGGTACAAAAAGAGCATACAGCCGCTCTGGATAAACGTCCAGACGCCGCGTGGGCCCACGCCACGGAACCAACCCTCCAGGCCTTCCGTTCTGTAAATGACCTTGAGGCCTGTAATAACGGATGATGTCTCGAGCGGAATGGCGCCGGGACGGGGGCGATGCGTGCTCGGCGAGGACGTTGATATCGATCGCTTCTGTGGATTCGGGTCCTTGGCGTGCGCAGAGGTATTTTTCAGCGCCGACGGGTTGACTTGCGTCTGCAGCCGAGTTTTGACGACGTCGAGAGGACAGGTAATGACGCCGGCCAGACCACCAGCTGTGGCACCCGTGAGGAGCTCATAGCCGACACCAATGTCGCGGCTCTGCTGCTGCTGTCGCGCCCACGTCTGGAACTGCTCGTAAAACATGAACTGTAGTGCCGAAAAGGGCAAGTCACGGTAGAGCGTAGCTTTGTAGCCGTGGAACATGGCGGCGGGACCCTCGGTGCGAACAATGGTGCGTGCGGCATCGACGGTGCCGCGATAGTTGTAGCCCGAGTTGAAGTGGGGATTATTGTATTTTCCTTGCAGTTGGAGTCGAGTTTTTAGTACTTCAGAAGGCACGTATACGATGGAGGCGGCCAAGTCGCCAAGAAAACCTGTCCGCTGTTAGGATTGGTCACACGGGGAGATGTTGAGTAGGACAAACCGGCTGAAAGATAGGCAAGGTGATGTTGCAGCCCATGGTCAATGAGAAATCGTTTGCTCCATTCGTAAGTCCCAAAGAACAGGACCGTTCCGGGAAAAGAGCCGCTGAGCGCAGGAATCCAACCGCCATAGAGACCTCTTCTGATGCCCTCTTGGCGCAATATTGTGTAGTATGACGAAGTAAGCGAGCGGTATTTGGACGGCACGTTGGGGTCGCCTTGTTGTCGAGTTTTAACGGTGTCCAGAGAGTGCATGAGCATGTCTCCAAAGGCACCACCTATTCCTCCAGCAAGCATTGCCTACGTCATAGGGTTAGCCGGCTGTCTTGGATCTGCGCGAGGCAGCTGTAGCAACATACATGGCTGTAGGGCGGCCGTCCCTCAATGTCCAGGTCCTGCTCTGGACTCATGGAGTCTGTGCTCACGAGTCCTCCGTTTCCAGGGTCGGTGAGATGGCGGGGAGGCTGCCCTTCATCGCGGGCATCGGACGGCAGGCCGGGGAGGGGTGACGAAGCTGCGGTCGCAGTCGCGGAAGGATCCGGGGCTTCAAATCCGAGCGCTTTGAAGCCCAATGGCATGGCCGGGCGAGGGAGAAATGGCGGGCGCCTCTGCGCAGTCGGGTGTTTTGGTGCTGGGTTCCGGCGTGCGTGCGGCTCTCGGAGTCCAAACAGAGCAAAAACGAAAACAGAGTCGTCGACTTCGTGGGTTTCTGGCGCAAAAGGGGAAAGAGTCGGGAAATCAGGCAAGAGATGCGGCGCAACAACAAGAAATGCAGACCCGGGGCCGTGACTATACGCTTGATAAGACGATGATGAAGGCGAGGAGAGTGAAGACTGGTACTCCTGAGAGGCTTCTAATCGTGTGGATGGGTAGTGTGGCTGCTTGGAGACGCCAACGTCTTCCCTGTGGCTAGTCGAACTTTTTTTTCGCGGCTCCGAGCGCTATCGCCGTGTGATTTGCCTGGTGGCGCTCCGCGCTGTTGTGATTGGATTGGTGCCTGACGGAGCCACTTTTGATACCTGTGTCCAGCTGGAATCCGAGATGATAAAACTGCTAATATAAATTTCTAGTTGAGTAGTCTTCAGTAACTAAAGTAAAATAATTTCGTCTATCGAGATGATCATTACTGATTGCTGTGAAAGCGCAGAGTTGCACCAGAGGTAAGCTGCCCTACGTAGCCGCCATGCGCTCGCTCGCGTGCTCAATGGTCTTGGAAGAAACAAGACGCCATATCAATACAACTAATAATACAAGGAATGTGTTCCTCTTGCTGATATACATAAAATCGACAAATCTTTACCGTGGCCTGCGCTCAATTGGCCGTGGTATATGATCCCACCACTTGACCGCACCAAACTTGTGAAAGGGATACAGAATGTGAGTGGCTCTGCCTACCAGCAACCTTTTAGACACCGGTCCGTATGTGTTGCTGTCTATCGTCGTTCCAGGTCGACCATCTCCCTCGACCCAAATATGCCCCTTTGGGATTTTGACTTTGGGAAATGGGTAAGGCGGGCGCGTGTGAACAGTATCGCCTTCCAGCCCGACTATTCGCTTGATAGCCACGGTCTCTGGATTATTCGGACTCCTGTACAGTAGGTCAGTACGCGTGTTCAAGCAGAATCCCAAGTTGAGTTCGCAGCAGTCGAGGCAACATCAGTCGCGCCGCCGCACTTGCGACCCGGCTTACCTCAGAGTAACCACCATGCCCCTTTGTAGATCCGTTTGTGGCGACCACTTCCACGTCAAAACAATGTCGTTTCGCAAACTCGAGTCCTTGTCCTCGTTTATAAACGGATACATAGAGGCCCCTTGTACGACTGTCATTTCCACGACGTGCGCATTGATCCACGCAACGACGGGCAGCCACGTCGCAAGGACACCCAGTCTCCAGGCAGTCTGGCCTGCCACGCTTTGTGGTCGCCAGCCGCGCCAATTCTGCACCCGCGTCCATGTCGAAGTCATAACTGGCCGTAAAGGCGCGGGCCTTTCCTCGTCGTCAACGAGTTTTGATGTGATACGCTGATGTCACAGTTGAGAGTTTAAGCTCCATGCTCATTGTCTAAAATGCCTGGTCTGGTGGGTCTTGTGATGAACAGGGACAGCCGCTACTTACCTCGACGGCTTTTACAGGCATATTGTAAGACTAGGTACCTTTGCAGACAAATTACTTGATAATGCTTAATTTTGAAATCTATCCAATATTAAATTTTGTTAAAAGTCTAATTTTGGGCGCATTTCAGCTTTAGCGAGCGTCAGGCGGTACTGAATCTCACCAACTTTACCAGGTATCAAATGATGTCATTTTTACTCTTTCCATATAGGTAGGTATGCAGTTGCCTCATTTTCTTGAGATGCCTATAGATATTCTCTCCTTCACCACCAACGCTGCATAAGCTGTTTCCGCTGCGGCTGTTTCCGCTGCATAAACCTTTCCGCTGCCCCCGGTTTACCCGGGAAAAAAAATCCACACTGGTCCCTTTTTTGGTCCTCATTTACATCGTCTCAGGAATGTTGTCATCGCTCTCACTCATACTCTCGTCACCGCTGACTTCCGCATTCTCGCGCTCTCTCTTCTCCATGAGGGCCTGCAGCTCGGCATCATCGCTCTCCGTAACGGCCTTGGGCTCCATCTTGACGGACAAGTTGCCGCCAGCAGCCTCGATGCTTTTGCGAATGTCGACAATGGCTTCTTCCAGGCACTTAATACCAACCGACTTGTCCAGGCAGGTGCTGGTGAGAACGTAGAGCGGTGGCGAAACCAGCCTGACCTTGACCTGGGTCTCCTCGGTGTTGCCGGCCTCGGCGGTGCGCAGAGCGGTCTTGACGGCGTCGATGCCCTCGTAGCCGAAGCAGGTGACTTCGATGTCGGCACGGACCTTGGTAGGTTGGGGAGTCAGGCGCTTGCCAATGTAGGACTTGAGCTCGTCGGCGACAGGCTGGCCGGTGAAAGTAATGTCATTCCAAACTTCAGGGTTGCTGTAATATGTCAGTATGCCACCACCACTTAAGATTTCAAAGTTCAGCACGGTATCCGTAAACGTACGTGATAGACAGCTTGAAGGCATCAATAGCGTGGCCGAACTTGCGGTTCAGAGGCCACGCAATGCTCTCATATAGTGTCTCAATAGGGACCAGGGTCTTCTCGGCGACGTGGCGCATGATGGAGTGGACCATCTTGCCCTTATTGTATCGCTCTTCGCACTTGATAATGTCTTCGGCGGACACACGACGTTTTGAAAGATCAATGTAGCCTGCTTGTCATTAGCTTACGGCTCAATCGCGTCGCATAGCGGGCTCTTCCTAGCCGTAGAATGCAACATACCCTTCTCCTTGTCCACTCTGAGAACGACGACAACCTCATTGCGGCCAACTCGAATGAGCTTCTGAATACTTCGGATACGTCGTCGCGAAAGTTCGGAGAGCAGGATCATGCCATCAATATCGTCGTACTCGAGGAGCTTGACGTAAGCTCCCATTTCGGCGATCTACATGACGCGAGAACGTGTTAGAACATATGGCCCCTCTCCATCGCATCATCAAAACCAAAACGGGTTCGGTCGTTTGGTTCCTATGCGCGTCTAATTCTGGGGTCATGGCCTGACGAACCTGCTTGACATTGACCATAACAAAGCTGTCGATCTCCGGGAACTTCTCCTCGTAGAAGCGGCAGTTTGTGAGAGACATATTGGCGGTATTTTCGTCTCCCTTCTAGAATTTTAAGAACGTTGAAAAGTCCGAAAGAAAGGTCAAAGGTGTCGTCGATAGCTGTCGGGCACGAGCGACTTCTGTGGGGTACAGAACGAGGAGTCACCCTCTTTTTTCCCGGCTGTGGTTTTCGGAGGGGAAGGTGGAAAGAAAGTCAGATCCAAATTTTGCCGCTTAAATCAATCTCGCCAGAAGAGGGGAGCTTCGGCCTCTGTAGATTTACGCAGTGGTAAAGTTGTCGCGGATTATTAGGCAGGCACCAGGCTTTTTGGATTTATTATAGCACAAAGTACAATTTTGACACACAAATTGGACGCAAACCAGTTGATGGTGGGGTGGCGGGGTGTGGCTGATGAGAAAAGGCGGTCACGTCCGGCAAAAAGCGCCACAGTCGTTCTTGCTCTGCTTTGCAGAAGGACACAAGTAGCTGCACGTGACCCAATCGAAGTAAACAGGAATAGCGAGCGCAACTTGGGATAACTAGCAATTGGAGCTTGTCGTAGATTCCGGGGAGCTGCCAAATCTAACAAACAACGTAAATATGGCGCCTGGTGAGTCATGAATCGTTATTCTGGAAAGAATTACCACAATTTTATTCATTATAGAAGTGAACTCTGCTAACTTCGCCCAACAGCAACGCAAGTCGAGCTGTCGCCGCCGCCCGGCGACGCGGTCTCTGCCGTCGTCTTTGCGCCGGAGACTAGTACCAAGCTGCTTGTTTCCTCCTGGGACAAGAACGTCTACCTCTACGACTTGAGCAATGGCGCCAGCGACGCCAAACTTTCAAACACATATGAACACAGAGCGCCTGTGCTAGATGTATGCTTTGGCGCAAGCGACGATGAGGCCTACACTGCGGGTATGGACTGGGCCGTCAACAGGTAGAGAACCACCCTACACAAGAAAACTGCAGCGTGGCCAGAACAGCCCACTAATCATCCTCTGTTTGCAGGATAAACCTCGCCACCGGCGAAAAGGTTCTCGTCAGCAAACACGCCGCTCCTGTCCGCAACGTCCGCTACAGTACCAACCACGGCATCCTCGTCTCCACCTCGTGGGACTGCAGCCTGTCCCTGCACGATACCGAGAACCCTTCCAGCACGCCCCTACGCATTTCACTGCCCGGAAAGCCGCAGGCCCTCGCCATCAGCCCTTCCAAGGTCGTCGTCGCCATGACTGGCCGCATCATCAACATCTACGACCTCGACGCCATCAAGTCGCTCATCGCCCAGGGCGGCAGCGGCGCTGACCTGAAACCCTGGCAGCAGCGCGAGTCGTCGCTGCGGTACCTGACGCGCGCACTCGCATGTATGCCCAACGACGCGGGCTACGCTACGAGCAGCATCGAGGGCCGCGTCGCGGTGGAGTGGTTCGAGGACACGGCCGAGTCGCAGGCGCGCAAATACGCCTTCAAGTGCCACAGACAGCCTGCACCCGACGGCGACGGCGACATTGTCTATCCTGTTAATGCGCTGGCCTTTCACAACTCCCACGGCACATTCGCCTCGGGCGGCGGTGATGGCACCGTGGCGCTCTGGGACGCAGAGGCCAAGCGCAGATTAAAGCAGTACCAGAAGTCGCCCAACAGCGTCGCAGCGCTGGCCTTCTCCAATAATGGCAAGTACCTAGCCATTGGTGTGTGCCCGGGTTTTGAGACGGGTCAACAGGACTACAACGGGGAGGGCCAGACCATTGTGATTATCCGCGAGCTGGGAGAGAATGAGGCCAAGGGTAAGGGGTCTAAATAGAAGCCATTTATCCGTGCGCAGCGATAGATGAAGGGGTGGTTGCGGGTTTCGCATAATCCATCGGCATTGTGTGTTTTATTTACTTGGCCGAAATGGCGTTCGGGTACTTGGAGCAGGAATAAACATATATTTTAAGCAGAATGTTTGGAGAGGAATGTATACGTCGATACCGAGGCGCTCGTGCAGGTGGAAAGAAAACAGCAGTGCAATATGCATAATTGAGACGAGCAAGTGTAGAAGCGGACCATGGTAGGTAAACGGCATACTGTGAACCGAATACAAATCCATCGTGAAATAAGGACCAGGTCATGAACCTCCATTGAATTACACCCTTTTTCACGGGGTCGTTTCCAGCTGCCATCGATTCAAGTGCGGGCGAAAGACCTACTCTGCTGCCTTGGCAGGCGTGATGGGCTACAAAACGGTTAGCAGATGTCTGCGGTTGAAATACGTGCAACATACTTTGACATCCTCAACGTGATCATAGCTGCCTCCAAGAACGGCAAAGTTCACATCGCCCTGCGCCGCAGGAACACGCTTTCCCCAGAGGAAGTTGTGCGGGAACCCGAGGTCAAAAGGTGCCGCAGCTTCGATTTCTCGGATATCCTCGGCATTCAATGCTATGTTGAGGGCGTCGATGTTATTCTTGATGTGCTCGACCTTGCGCCCGCCGAGCACGGGGAAAACATAAGGTGCTTTGTGCATGACATATGCGATGGCGACACCGGTGACGGCCGCGCTTTTACGCCTTGCGACGGCCTCAAGTGTAGCGAGAACCAACTTCTCCTGGTCAGTATGCTCTTGAGTCGGCTTTTCGTCTCGGACTCTAAGCATTCTGAACGGCTCTGCAGATTTAAATTTACCTCCACCGAGTGAGCCCCAGGGAGCAAGGGCCATGCCCTCGGCACGGCACATGGGGATAATATCGCGCTCAAGATCACGATGGGCAGCTGACCATTTACCCTGATAGACGCTGAATTGGCGCATACCGTGATTTCTGGCGTATTCGTTTGCTTTACTGAGTATATATTAGACAAATGTTGGAAATTGTAAAAGCATCAAGTTGCTCACCTAGCTACCCATGCTGGGGCATCGCTGATGCCAAGATACAGTACTCTGCCGCCAAGCACGACACTGTTGAGAGCTTGCATCATTTCTGGTATTGAGGTGTTGTAGTCCCACCAGTGAACGTAGAGCTAGGGAAGCGTCAGATTCAATGACCGCCTTTAGAATATTTGACCCGATTTCTCTCACCAGATCAATGTAGTACGTCTGTAGTCTCTGTAAACTCGCGGTAATGGAAGCGTTAAGGCTCTTGGCACCACAGCCATTGAAGTTGACTTTGATCTTGGCCCCGCCCTCTACAGGTATGAAAGCTGTGGTATACTTTGTAGCAATGACTGGGAGCATGGTCAAGAACAGATCGTTAGCGACGAGCAACTTGGACGCAGATAAACTCTGCTACTCACCCATCTGCTCACGGTTGCCGCGGCTCTTCATCCAATTACCAATACGAGTTTCGCTCTCTCCACACTGGTAATTGTTTGCCGTGTCAATGAAATTGCCCCCCTACATGTATTAATGCAAGGCCCAAGAATTGAACAGCGCGGTGGCGAGACTCACTTGCTCGTAGAAGTAGTCTAATATATCCTCTGTTGTCTCTTTCGTACACTCGCCCAGCCAGTGACTCCAGCTATCGCCAAAATTCATTGCCCCGAGACATATAGGGCTAACCCAAACGGAGGCAGTCGGGGAGAGTAGCCTATATCGACTCAGATTGGATTTCGGCGCCGGGGCTGGAGGAAAGTAGGACGCCATGCTGAAGAGTGAACAATAGGTCACGGTGGCTTGGTGGTAAAATACTAAATTTCGAATACACTTCTCAGGGCAGTGGTGTGATTCAGCTGAGAGATGGGGTAGAACATCCTGGGAACAGAAACACATTGCCGGTCGTGATGATGTGTGTGTGCCCTCTGTAACAGTTGCTCCTTCCAGTCCAGGTTCGCCAGACGACCGAAATTACGGGTAATGCATATATGTAAAAAAAAAAAAAAAAAATAGTAAAAAATGCATAGAATACTATTATTCGATAGACTTTCCACTTGAAGCATGTATGAGTCAAAAGCCGTATTTATTTAAAGCCGTTAGTTACTGCCGGCCCAAGAAGCGCTGCCATGGAGTAGAAGCCATCTAAACTCTGCAGCAGCTATTCTTAGAGTAACGTGGCTATCTAGTCTAGTGGAACTTCAATTAGCCTCATCAGCTATACAGAATGTACCAGCTGCAAAATAGTTCAAAGTGTTGAATGGTACCTAGAGAACAGCCCGCTCGCTGCCACGGGTGTAAGCGGCGCCGTAAATGTGCTGCGACAGGTCTACCTAAGGTATATATATACCTTAGTAGGGAGTAAAGGTCCGCAGTCGACAAACGCGAACCACCTGCAATCTTAACACTCTTATAAAACGACATTTAATACTGCCGAAAATACTGGAAGAAATTTAAAACACCGTTTGAAAATTCATTTCTTGTACGATACCCCATCAATGGCTGCGGCCTCAAGATTACAGTTTGGTGGTGTATGCTTACCGAGGAACTGCCGCCCCAGAATAATTGTCGCCTGCTTTCGCCTCGCTCTGCCGAATTGATCAGCCCATCTTCATTCTCGACACGGCCCTAGGAACCAATTACTCGGGGCCAATTCACACATATCAGAGCACTGCTGCCTCGCACCATGACGCACCACGCCAATGGCTTCTTCAAGTACCGCGCTCTCTAAGACGGCCATCAACACCCTACGCGGCGTCCTTTTCACGACGTCTGTGTCGGTCGTCCTGCTCGCCGAGGAACGCCGCCGCCGCATCAAGATTGCCCGTGCCGCCGTCGACAATGCGCGCAAGATCCATGCCGCCAAGATTAATCGCGGCGCTGAAGCAGTCGCAGTGCTCGAACCGTTCAATCTCGAGGCTCACCTAGCCAAGCTCGACAGCGAGTCCTTCATCAGGCAACCACGCGCGCCTCGGAACTCATCTCGCCGGGGAAAACGAAAAGATGTCGACAGCCTAAACTCTTCCGACGGTACCCTTACGATACCCGAAACTCGCGCTCCCGAACCCGTTGCGCCACTTCGAACTGTTTATAATGACTCCATCCCCCTTGTTCACATTGCAGAGGCCATGGTCGCGGGACGGAATTGGAGCATTAACTCGACAGTCAAGCGCTCCGCAGTACCCAGAAAAGCGCAAAAAAAATCAGCAACCGTTGATAATATCTCCAAGAGTGTGGGTGCGAGCCAGGTATCAGGCGAAGCTCCGGCAACAACCTCTGCAGTCACCATTTCAAGCCTATCCGCGCACAACAACTCGGGAATCCCCAGCCATAGACTCGAATACGAGCATCTCAGAGTTGCTCCACGAGACAGCAAAGAAGCCTCTGTCGAGTATAACGACGCTGTGGCAACGCTCATCGAGGCCGTCCAGGCTTTACCAGAGAAGTCCAATCAAAGCAAGGAACCATCGCACACCTTCAAAATAGCAGTGGCGGCTCTGCATGTAGTTGGCACACACAACGGCACTCGACGTTCATTCCGAGAGTTATTAAAAGATATCGTTGTCAACCTCCTGAAATATTCTGTGGATATGACTTCAGAAGAAATGAGAGCAGTCTTGAAGGCGTCGCTCTTCCTGAAGCGATCAATTGTCACTATTCTCAATCGATTTTTGGCGTGGATGGACAAGCATCGACCAGAGGATGCTATAGAAGTCACGCGAAACATCATCTCTTTCTTTACACAACCAGAGCAGGCTCTCGTTTGGAAAGACGGGCAATTCATCCAAGAGGCCGTCAAAGTACAACGTGCGCATTGCACCGAACTTGCAATCAAGGAGTACAACATGCTCAAATCTGCCGGGCTATTTGCGGAAATGAATATGCCGGACCAGGAATATGAAATCCGAAGAGAAGCCGTCATTGCAGCTTGTGCGGCAGGGCAAACGCATTTCGTCGATGAAGAAATGATTGCGCTGCGGAAATTAAAAGGGGATGATGTGGAATCAGACTTTGTGCTACAAGCTGCCTTGATGACCCAAAAGGTAGCTCTCGGCGCCTGTGATGAAGTTTTTGACTCCTTGCGAGAACTTGAGAGATGCAAAACGCCTTCGTCGATGGAGTTTCAAGGGCATCTACGGCGCTTCACAGACCTTTTCGCCAAGACACATGACGTTGAAGAGCTGGGTCGCTGGCTTACATACGCTGCGGAAACTTATGGCATGGCGCTGCGAACCGAATGGGCCTTTTTGGTGCTGAACGAGTATGCTTACTTTCACGACATTGAAGGAATGATGTTGTGGTTGGAATTCTGTCTGGGGCATGGGCTTCAAGTTGATTATCAATTTGCGACTGAATGGAAGAAAACATGCCGAAGACATTTGCGTTTCAGCAAAGATAATACGCAAGAACTGTGGAACAGACTGACCAAAGTTATGTCCTTGCCGCAAATGGATGGGCATGACTATCAGGTCAAGCATCGCAAGGGAGACTTGAGCAGGCGAATGGTCGAGTTGACGAACAACGGACGGTGGGAAAAGGCATGCCTTGTGTTTGAAGCGGCGCTGTCAAAGTCACGAGACATTTGCGAGACCAGCTTTCAACTGGCGCTAGAAGCGCAGGTGCAAGCAAATGGGGGCAACGCAGAACCAGCTCTACGATTGTTAGAACGCGCACGTGTTTATGGAAGAGACACCGCCATTGCGCAGCACCGGTTCCTTGCCAAGGAGATTAAAGGCAGACAAAGGAGCGACATCAAGGCTCTGCTTGTTAAGGCTGTTGAATGTGGGAGCGACATCCCGGCTGACATATATACTCTCGCCGTCCAAAGGGTGGTGGAAAAGGACTTGTACGGGGCGCATGAAATTTTGCAGCTGGGAGCCAAGCAGCTGGGCCATGGCAAGCTTGCGTACAACGGATACTCTTTCGCGAAACTGCTGTATATCCATATCGCGACTCACCAATATTCTGCAGCGCAGCGGCTGGTGTCCGAGTTTGCCTCAGACCGGCCGTTCTGGCATGGTACCAGGCTATGCAAGGAAAGCCTCAAATTCGGAATACGAGAGCTTACGAAACGAGCGGCCGCAAGGGTGGACGCAGGGGATACTGGCGATTTTGATGGCGGCGCGCGGATTCGTGAGCAGCGCCTTGCGGAAGGGCTGCAGCAAGCGCTCGAGCAGAATGCAGAGAGCCGGCACGAGGTGGGATACCAGACCACGATCGCCGACATGATTGTGCAGCTAGTCGAGGATGCTACGAAAGGGAAGGGTGCCGCCGCGGCTTTGGATTGGCAAAAGAAGAAGCAAGCAGAGAGATCTGTTCGAAAGGCCGGTTCTGGGTTACATGTGGCATCTTTGCGAAACAGCATCACGCGTATCAGTGTGGATGCGTAGAGGCTCATCGCCCATGTATATATACGACCTAGCCAAGGTCTGCACTTGTACAATTGATAAATTTAGCATGCATTTACCATAGGGTGGGATAGATTTTTCTGTGAATCAGATGCATATTAGAGATGTAACCATATTGAATCATTGCTACCTATCGAGCGGCCGCTTCCTCCCAGCGAAGGCAAGCGCAAGCAATCTTGGTGATGTGCGGCTGTTTGGGTATTAGGATGGCGGCAATACGAGTACGTCGCGGCAGTTGCGGATCGAACCGAAAACGACACTAGACCTTTGAGGGAAGCAGTTGCGGATGGCGATGTGCAGCATAGATGAAGCACAAATAAAGAGAAACTGACATGTGAAGATGGTATGAGAATGCAGTGTCATGTTTCCACTTTGTAATTCGATAAAAGCCTGGGTCTCCTTGTGTAAGAGGCCAGATTCCCTGAGGACGTATGTTTGTCTCGGGACCCTTTGTGCTGCGGATGAAAGGCTCCACAAGTATTCGGGTACGGATGTAGGTACGTACCTATGTGTGTGAGGAAGGACGCTAAAAGAAGGCTGCAGATTGTTGGCTCGAACTGCGAGAGGCGAGGCAAAAGAATTGCCGAATGAGCACAATTCGGATAAATACGTAGAATAGTCAATTGGTCAAAGTCATGGCATTCACTTCAATTGACGTAAATCACCTTGCGTCCGAAAAAACCAGGCAATGACAACATGACCAAGTGCTAGCGCAACAAAGGGGAGGGGTGATGGCTGGAATCTGCCGATTGACCGCCATCGCCACCAGTATTCGTACCTGCAAGGCTTTCGGTGGCGCACCAGCGTGTCCACTTGCCAAGCGGGCCAACAACGAAAAGGGCAATGCAAAAAAAAGTAAGGCGACGCATCAGTTCATCAACCCCCCGTTTCCACATGCTTTCTCTCCTACGTCTTGACCGGGGCATTTCGTTTCTCACGGCGGCTTCTTTTGAATTAAATTGTCTTGTTTCTGTTCCTTCATTATTCTTTTTCAAGGGGCCGTCTCTTCTCTCATATACATTCACCTCGACGATACCTCCCTAACGACACACACGAGACCTCATCGACTCCCCCCGAGCCGCGACACAACTCACGCCAACACCCACACCCATACACTTATAACAACCTCCGCCATCATGGCCACCGGTGCAGTCGACGCCCGGCGCCTCCAGCGGGAGACGCACCATGAGGCTGACGTCGTCGTCGTCGGCGCCGGTGTCTTTGGCTGCGCCGCCGCCTACTCCCTCGCCGAGCAGGGCCGCTCCGTGCTGCTGCTCGAGCGGTGGATGCGCGAGCCCGATCGCATCGTCGGCGAGCTGCTGCAGCCCGGCGGCATACAGGCGCTCAAAAAGCTCGGTCTCGGCCACTGCGTCGAGAACATTGACAGTATCACCTGCCGCGGCTACAACGTCCTCTACCAGGGCCGCCCCGTGCTCATCCCCTACCCGACCATGGACGAGTACGGCGGCGTCCCGCACCAGTGGTCCGGCGCCGGCAAGGAGGGCAAGCGCGAGATTGGCAAGGGCTTCCACCACGGCCGCTTCATCACCCGCCTGCGCGAGGCCTGTCTGGCGCACCCCAACATTACCGTCCGCGAGACCGAAGTGGTGCGGACGGTCCGCGGCGAGCACTCGGATCATGTCCTCGGTGTCGAGACGCGCACTACGGACCCGGAAACAAAGGTCAAGACGCCGGACTACTTTTTCGGCCAGCTCACTATCATTGCCGACGGCTACGACTCCAAGTTTCGCAAGGAGGTGACGGATGAGAAACCAGTGGCAAGATCCAGGTTTTACGCCCTCGAGCTGACCGACGCCGACCTGCCCGCGCCTGGCTATGGCCACGTCATCATCGGCGACGCCTACCCGATCCTTCTGTATCAGATTGGCACGCACGAGACACGCGCTCTCTTTGACGTGCCCTATGATATTCCCGAAGCCGCGCCCGCTGCAGGCGGCGTCCGTAACTACCTCGAGAACCACGCCATCCCTGCGCTGCCAAAATCCGTGCAACCGACGGCCCGTGAGGCCCTCGAAAATAGCAAGCTGCGCACCATGCCCAACAGTTGGCTGCCGTCGACGCAGCAGGTTCCACGCGGCATGGTGGTGCTCGGCGACGCCATCAACATGCGGCACCCGCTGACGGGCGCCGGCATGACGGTTGCCTTCAACGACGCCGTGCTGCTCGCTGAGCTGCTGCACCCGGACCGCGTGCCCACGCTGGCCGACGACGCCGCCGTGCAGGCCGCGTTGCGCGCCCTCTACTGGCGCCGCAAAAACTACACGGCCATCCTCAACGTCCTCGCCCAGGCTCTTTACGCCCTCTTTGCCGCCCATGACCCCCAGCTGCACGCCCTCCGCATGGGCTGCTTCGAGTACTTCCGCCGCGGCATCACCGACGGGCCCTGCGGCATGCTCGGCGGCATCATTCACCGTCCCGTCGTCCTGGCCTACCACTTCTTCTCCGTCGCCTTTCTCGGCATCTGGATGCACTTTCTCGAGATAATCACTAGCGGCCCGGGGCCGTTGGGCGTGCTCAAGGCCCCTCTGGCTGTGATTGATGCCGTCCTCATCCTGGCCAAGGCGTGTGTGGTGTTTTTGCCGCTGATTTGGAGGGAGGGATTTCGGTGATTTTCCCCTACTGCTGCTGCTGCGGCGGCTGCTGCGTGGAGCACACACTTGATTCCTTGAGCTCTTCCATGTACATTTTTACAATACACATTTATATAATTCATTCTTGGCGGATGGCTTGGGAGAGCAGCGCATCCCGTCCCGGAAAAGAGACATTGGTCAACACGTTTGGGCGACATCACAAAGGCGTTTTTTTGGGGGGGGTGCGATTTTCATACATTGATAATTCTTACACTAGAGGTGGTGGTAAGGCGGGTTCCAGTCATTGAACAGTGGCTAATAGCTGGCTACCTTTGGTTATTCTGTCGCCTTGTGCTTTGGCGCAAGAGACATGCTTGCTCGTTGTCCATATTTGAAAGCATGAGCAAACAGGAAATGAAATGTGGTCTTGAGACTTTTTTTATAGAATCAGCAACAAATTCCTCACTTGTATACTAATACATGCAATTCGGCATCCCTTATCTTTTTTGCCCTTGTCCGTCTAATATCATCTCGCAAGTAAGTAATTAAACATGTACATCCTTCTCCTCCCCCCCTCCAACAAGCTACGTCAGGCGCCGCCTGTACACGCCCAGCATCCAGCTCGCGCGCAGCACCGCGAGACCGACGGCCATGCGGACGCTGTCCTGCACCACATTCAGCTTGCTGCCGCCGACCTCGTGCCAGGCGACGGGCACCTCGGCGACCTTGATGCCCGGGCTGGTGCCGAGGACGGTGCCGTCGGCGGCGCGCAGGGGCGCGGCGGGGGCCGACTCGGCGAGCATGAGCATCTCAATGTCAAAGATCCAGCCCTCGGCGTGCATGTACGGCACAATGTGCGGCAGCGCGGCGCGCGTAAACAGCTTGAAGCCGCACTGCGTGTCGCGGAGGCGCGACGTCGCGGGCGGTGTGAGGATGGTGAGAACCAGGTGAAAGGAGCGCATGAGAAAGTTGCGCAAAGCAGAGCGCTGAATATATCGTGTTAGCTTCTTCTCCTGATTCTCCGTCTTGACCCTTCTCTTTTTCTGTCGTAATAGTACATGCGGGAAAAAACGTACCTTGACTACTGCTTCGCTGCCAACCAGGTGCGCGCGGCTACCAATCGCCACACCGCGGCCCGAGGCGTCGACGACTTCCTCGCAGCCCTCAATCAGCTTGCCGACGTCGCTGAAGCGCGTGGCGCCGTCCGCGTCGGCAAAGAGCACATAGTGGCCGCGGACATGCCGCAGGCCGTGCGTCACGCCGCCGCCTTTGCCGCGGTTCTTCTCCAGGCTCACGACGCGCAGCACGTCGTGCAGCTGCCTGTCCCGCGCGAACCGCAGCGCCACGTCGACCGTCTTGTCTCTGCTGCCGTCGTTGACGACGATGATTTCGTAGCCGGCGGGGGGGATGTCGAGCTCCGACGCCGCGCGGCGGCGGCGCTGCTTTCGGGGGCTCGGTTCGGAGGAGGATGATGGGGGCTTGGTGCCGGGGCGGCCGACGTGCGCGTCGAGGTACGCGACGGCTTCTTCGAGCGTCGGCAGGATGCGGTCCTCTTCGTTGTACGCGGGCAGCACGACGCTGAGGCGCAGCTCGGCCGGGTCGATGGTGCCAGAGTCGGGGGTCGTCGTCGTCGGGTCGGCGGCGTCGGAGGGGCCATGCTGCTGCTCACTCAGACGGCGCTCGGCGAGCCAGCGGTCGTACCAGCAGGGCAGCGGGCGCGGCGCCGTCGGTGCGCCGTCCGGGCTGCTGGTAAGGTACGTCTTTTCTGAAGGAAACGGCGCGCGGGGCTTGGGCGCGACGAGGTGCAGCAGGGCAAAGAGCTGTTTGTCGGGGGGGGTCAAGTGTCAGCGTCAAACGGGAGGAAGTTGCGCTGGGGAAGGGAGACGAACCGTCAGCAGCCCGGTGAGTATCAGGACGACGGCGAGGGCGAGGAGGACGTAGACGGGCGTGGCCTGGATCCAGGCAGCCAGCGACTGCAGGATGCGCCCCGGGAGATCCATCGGTCCAGGAGCCATAGGTAGCGGCGGCGGCCCGGTTGGTGCCCGGAGGTTTTTCTGGGGTGAGCAGTGCACGGTACTCCCGTTTAGACACGCATTAGTCTCGGAGAGAGAAAAATCTAGAAAAAACGAAGAGGTATGTATGAAGAAGAGGGAAATTATGACAGAAAGGAAAAAAGGGAAATGGGGATGAGGAAGAATTGAAACAAGAGTGAACGTGGCCTGGCAGCTGTCAAGCAAGCTTGGAGCAAACGGCATACGTGGTTGCGAAACGAGGGCTCCAAAATTAAGCTGACGTCGTTGGGTCAAGGGTATCACTTGGTCGGTGCGGCCGCGTGTTGGTGGCCGGCGCGGGTACCTTGCGGCACCGTAGTGGGGGCGACGACTCTCTACCCTGGATTTGAAGTACAAAGCATGATGGGGGTTTGAGTGGTATTTAGGAGGCGAGATACCTTGGGGAGTTTCCTCCTTTCTCTATCCCTGTTTAATTTGATTAAGGCCAGCCGAGCTGCACAAAGGTTAACTACCTGCAGAGTAGGTACCTAGTTACTGCAATGATGCATGCAACAGACCTTGGTGGAGTTTGTTAGGCATCCAAGTACCCAGCACAGCACACTAAAGAGTTACCAAGCCATGATCGAAACAGGTACACTGCTATGAATACTTTGTCATATATTGTTGTATGCAGCTACTTTGCTAGCCATCTGTATCTCCGTGCTGAAATCCAATATCTACTGCACCAAATGGAACCTCCAAATTTCGTCCAACGCCATTTCAGAAACAAATAACAAAAAGGAAATCTACGCTGGAAAAAGGAACCATTTTCATCATAATCGTCGTCAAATTGGCCGACCAAGAGCCTTGCAGAAAAGCGGCAACGCTATGTAGCGATCCGTGTCTCGGATCGGACCGTGGGTGCATGCCGGCATGGTCCAAAGCCCGACCTTGGGTAGCGTAGACGCCGCCTGGCTCGTTGCGGCGTCGTTGAAGCAGAGGGAGGGAAAGTATGCAAGCGACATCCGTAGAAAGATGTGCGTTTGAAAAAAAGGTAATACATGCCGTGTAAAGACTTCTTGGAAAGAATGCGGCAGAAAATGTATAGTGATCAGATGATGCAAGCGTGTTACACTTATGCAGTGATGGGCGACGACTTGGCAAACGACCAGCGCGTCTTCTTGACCTTGCCAAGCTTTCCGCGGCTGGACTTGGTGTCGTACGAATCGGGTATCGGCTCAGGAAAAATGTTGACGAGGCTGTCGTGCGCCAGTGGTGGCGGCATCTCGGAGCGGCTGTGGCGCGTGTAGTTGCTGGATACAATGGGCTCCAGCTCAGGTTGTGGTTGCGGCGTCTGGACCGGCAATGTGTGCTCCTTCATGCGGGACTGGTACGACCTTTGGCCAACAGAGGATGGCGTCGCTGGCCCGCCGGACGGGTCGAGGCTAGCGCTCCGGGTCGCCAAGGAGCTGAGGTTCACGTCGCTCGAGTTGCGCGAGGCGGGCGGCGCGGTGACGGGCGTCGCAGGAGCCCTGGGCGCAAAGCCGCTATAACCAGTGCTGAGGCGATGCTGGGGGGTGCTCTGGTGCGCCGCGCTGGCGAGTTCCGGCTGGCCGGCGGCGGCGGGCTGCTGCTGGGTTGGCGTGGTGGGAATATAGTTGAAGCCTCTCATGGACATGGGCGGGGGGCGCGCGTCTCTAGCGGTGGGCTTGGTGCTAACGGGCACCGCCGTTCTGTCGGAAGTCTCTGAGGAGGTGCGGCGGTGGCTCGGGTGCAGACGGTGGGAGTGGACAGACGCTGGTCGCGGAGACTCGGGAGTGGGCGTTTGTGGCTGCTGAGCGGCCATTACTGGCACAGCAGGCTGGGCTGTGGGCGTGACGGTCTGAATCTGAGCCTGCTGGGCACTCTGAAGCTGCTTCGCTTGCTGGGTGTGCTGGACCTGGTGATATGTCTGCAGCTGCTGGACTGGTTGGGCTAGGGGCACCTGCAGATTCGGGGCAGGCTTTGTATTTGGGCGAGCGGAGGACGCCATGACAATTTCCAGCTCATCATGAGAGCTGTTGGATGCCCTAGAGCTGCCTTCCGGTGTCGGGTCTAACAGCGGGGATCAGTAAGGGCGAAACCTTGTAGCGAGAGTCCGACCTCCTCACCTTTGCTCACAACGCTGCTGCTGCCGCCCGAAATATCGTAGGCCGGAAAGGAGTTTCGGTAGACGTCCTTGCCTTTGTACGACGACGGCTGAGAGAGGGCGGCGTCGGGCATGGAGTAGACAATCTCGCGGCCCGGCGGGTAGGCATGATGAACGCTGCTGGAGCTGTAGGCGCGGGGCATGCCGACGTGAGGGGTGGCCTCGCCGCTGGGATAGGAGACGTAGGACAGGCTGCTGGTGACGCGCGGGATGGCGGGAATAGTGGTGGTTGAGGGCGTGCTGAGGGAGAAGCCGGCGGCTGCCATGGCACTGCGGCGGCGATTTTGCTCGAGGATGCGGGGCCTGTCGTTGACTTCTCGCCAGGCGGGTGGCGCCGAAGCGATGGCGTCGGAGGCGGCATGCGTCGGAATGTGGCGGTACGGCACTGCTTGGGCGTCTTTTTTCTTTTGCTCGGCGAGCTTTGCATTGTGCTCCTTGGCCTGCTGGCGGCTCTTTCGGAGATAGGAAAATATAGACATGGCGAGGGTGGTGACTGGGTGAGGTGGGTGAGGTGGCAGGCAATACGAGGCAGGTGGAGGTAGGTAACGAATCGCCGTTTGCTGAAGAAAAAAGGTGGCTTGCTGACGCTGCAGGTTGTTTGACGTCTAGGTAGATTGGCGAATGGGACAGCGGCGGCCGTCTTGTGAAGCTGACGTAGATGAGGACGAAGGGGAATATATACTCTGTATATATTTCCCACACGAGAAGGGGCCTGTCTTGTCTCAGGGAACACGAAGACAGACAGAGGCTGTGTTGTCTTATTTGTCTGGGCTTGGCGCGGTGCTGGTGCTGGTGCTGGTGCAGCAAGCAGCCCAGAGGACTGACTGACGCAGGTGGGTTGGAGGATGCGACGTGTGGGGGGCGATCCAGGCGAGAAGAAAGTTTAAAAGAAGAAAAGATGGAAAAAAGGCCGTGCTGCGCAGTGGAGGACGTTGGAATCACAGACTGTGCATGTCTTGGGAGGATATTCCTGGGGAATGCCGTGGGCAAGGAAGACGAGGGCAGTAGAGCGAGCGATGTGAGCCCTGGTGGTATCGAGGCGAGTTCCAGTTCTGAGTAGGTAGGTAGGTAGGTAGGTACCTAGCCAGCAGGGAGTAGACGCGGACACGGGTAGACGAGTAGACTTGTAACACCAAGACAAGGAGATGGAGTGAGAGTTGGTGAGGACTGGAAAATAAATAGGACGAGCGTCGAGGCCAAGGGCAGAGGAAGCTGCCCGGGAGGCAGATTATATTAATACTTGCGCGGTGGCCTAGTGCAGCGTACTTGTAATAGCGCAACGTAGGTACGGAGCACTGGTAACTGTGACAGGCGGGGTGGCCGGTCTTTGGTTCGGTACTGTACTGTATTACTGTAGGTAGGTAGGTAGTGCCTGTGCGAGGGGTGCGTCGTGGCGCTGGCGTGGCTTCAGGCAGGTAGGAGGAGTGGTTGTACAGCTGGCGGGGTGGCTTGAGACGTTCAATTGGTACTATGGAGCAGATGCAAGCCATTACTGGGAACCCAGCATTCGCTTGATCATGGACAATGCTAGTTATCATCAGCACGGAGGATCCGGACACAGGCGGGCAAGTAAGTACAAGCAGTCGGTGTTTGTGGGCTCAGGCCGCCTTTCCACCGCGTCGGGGTTGAAACATGTTTTTCTCTTTTGTTTGAAAAAAGACAAAAAGAACAAAAAGAAAACTACTGTAAAGCTGTGCAATGTACGACTGTTGGATTGCAGTCTTCTTTTTTCCTCGTGGTTGTCGCACACACACATACGGACAAGATAACTACCCAACTTAGTTCTCTTGGTGGAGCGGAACGGACGGGAGCGCGGAACAGGGTGCACTGCACCTGTGGGACCAGGCAAGGGCTGTGAACTGTTCAACTGCCCAGGTTGCCAGGGTCAATGAGATATGTAGGCAGATATGGCATTGAGCTTGGAGATAAACAAGGCCGTTTGCATCTCTGATTGTGATCCGTAATCATCCCGACAAGCAAAGGATACATACCTGAGCATTGTCGAAAGCACATATGTATCAGTCATTGCCTTATCTGTACTGAAAAGGTGCCATCCCAGTGCTCGGTGCCCTGAAGCAGTGGCCAAAGCGGTGGATTCCAGCGGGTACCAGGCACATACCTGTATGCCACTCATAAAATCAAACCGCTATGGAAGGCACCAGAGAAGCAAGCCACTCAGATAAAATGTGCCTCTTTGCGGATATGACAGGGGCCTCTGCTATTATGTGCCTGCAATACCCGTTCAGCCCGAGCGAGTTTGTCTTGATCTAAAAAAGGAAAAAGGAAAAAAAAAAGAAGAGAAAAACAAACAAGGTAACTGGCTCAAGTTCGAGACACCCCCCCCCCCCCTCGCCCTGATAAACACCACAAGTCTCCGAGAGGGGCCACTGCCAGCGAAGAAACTGGATCCATGCTGTGGCCTTTCTGCATCGTATCGCTTCAGAGAAAGCAACAAAGTGGAAAAATAAAGAGGAAATTCCAAAATAGAACCTAACTAGTATACAGAGTACACCAAACACAACACAATACAAACAATGAAACAATGAAGCAAAGCCAGCTCCAATACCCAATACATCCGAGACCTGCCTACCTGAAAATCCTACCCAGCACGCGCATCGCCTGCACTGCAACCCCATGCACATCGTTTTACTCTCAACCTCATCTCCATTCACTCGGCTTTTACTTCTCAGCCTCAAATGAACAAATGTCATCAGGTCATCTCATCGTCATGCCTCCAAATCCTCCTCCTGACCCCCCTCTCTCTAGATTGATGCGCACCCCGTCCCGCCAAGCCAGAAAGCACCGTAAAAGGCCCATGGCCAGGACCTGTATCTGGCCCCAACTCAGCCCAGGACGTAATACTGGTAATAATGGTAACTATTAGCTCCTATGTACAAATTACCTAGGCTGTAGGTACAACCTACCTAGTTACCCAGCTCATCATCGTCTTTTCCTTCTTTCGCATCTTTGGAAGCCGGCCGTGTGCACCGTATTCAACAACTGAAACCAGCAAGCTAGATAAAGATTTCTGTTTGAGACGCATGGATTTTGCCTGAGCCCTGTTTCTGTTTCGACCCCCCCGTCCTGACTCGGCCGCCCAATGCCCAACAGCCGCATTCTTGATACGCACATACATACAACATGGCCACCACTCAGCAACCCTCCTCCATGCATGTCGTCTTTCTTTGCATTTTTATTGGCACTTTGCAATCTATTTGCTTTGCTTATCCTGGGAAGGCTGAGCACGACATGCATACATGCATAAATACTTGCGTCAGGTCGCCGGCTCCTCCTGCCCAGCACCCAAGTCGTCAGCTCCTCGACCGACAAGCCCTGGTTGCTGGCCACCGCTGCTGCAAAGCCTCACAAACACGGGAATAATAAATCTGCCGCAGCCTTTACCACGCACAGTGTGTCAGCCATCACTCGTACATTCATCTACCAGCCCCTGCTTGCTACCTATGTATGTACCTACTAAGTTAATCCACCATGCTCCATCTACGGATACCATGTTGCAAAATCTTGTTGAGGCTCTGCCAGCCTTATCCCACACCGCCCGGGCGTTGATATCTCTCGAGACCACGCCATCGGCCACGACACCTCCTTCATCAACGTGGCCCTTTCCAAGACGAGGTTGGGCGCAATCCGAGATGGCGCCAGAGGCCCGCGAGTCCGCGACGGGAGGCGGCTGGACCGCCACAGCGGGTTTGGGCCGCCGCGTAAACATGCGCATGTTCAGCCTGGGCTGAACCTGGTCTTGGTGGTTGCGAATAGTCTTCAGCCTTCGATGCCGCGGAAGATGGTCCGCGACATGGAAATTTCCACTAACCGTTTTCTTTCTTCTTGGCTTGCCGCCTCGATCCTCTAGTCTGAAATCAATATACAGGGGAAAGAAAGGAGCAACGACGCAGAAGTGCTGCTCGCCCGCGGTGACTCGTCGAGCGAGGCCTGGTGAGGATGCTGCGCACAACACGACCATCCCAGCAGCCTGACCAGCTCAGCAAGGCAAGCGAGCCTCGAATGCCAACTTCGATCTGACACTCCCGTCGTATCAGAACATGCCGTTGCAGTCCGCGCGCCGGAGCTCGTATTTGGCAAGGGCCAGTCTGATCTGGGATGCTCGCTCAGCCGCTGGGCGGGCCCCGGTGGACCAGGTCCAGACGGGTGGCTGTTTTGGCGGGCTTTTGGTGTGGACGACTGAAAAGCCTATCTGATGGAAGAAATGACGAGAGTGGATTGGCTTAATTCACCGCTGGTTTTTTAGCCAGTGCGATTACACTGACAGACCGGCGCACGTTTTTTCGGCGGGCGTTTCATAGTCGAGTCCCAGCTCCCGCGACGCCGGGGCTTGTGTCGACCGCGCCATGCATCATGCCAAATCCTCCACAACCTCCACAACCCAGCCGCACTGACAGGACTCGAAACGAATCGCACTCCTCTTCACCTTGAAGGTCTGGGGCTTTCAGCTCGTCCGACGTTGCCCTAGACACGCAAGGTTTGGGTCTTCCTAGCCGATCCTTTATGCGCCGACGTTGGGTTTTGGCTCTGCACGCCGTATCGGCGGACACTCTCCGACTACAGCAGAGACAGAGACAAGCCTTTTACATCAACTCACGTTCTGGGCCTGTTCCATCTCGGAGGAATTGCCGTAACACAGATAAGACGCAAGCTGGGTCTGTCACAATGGCCAATGACGTGACGGTGCGTTCGTGTGCATAATGGTACCACGAAGTCATGACGCGGTGCACACGCCCAACAATGGCAAATTAGGCCGCCGCCCCGTGGCAATGATGGGAAACTCTGCTTGCGCCATGCGAACCGATGATGAAGCAATGTCAGTCTCCTGGATTACTCACGTCGTGGTTGTGCGCGGCCTCGTCGCGCTGCCCCAGCTCGGCCGACCAACGTTTCAAAAACCTCTTGACGAGGTCATCATCAGCCTTCCTGCAGCTACCCTCCCCGACTGCTCCGAACTGTGAGACTTTTGCATCATGTCGATGGCGGGAGCTCCGATCATGCTGCGAGGAACAGGGGAAGAGTGTGTAGGCGTGAAGCGGGCAAGCAACCCTCGGCGGCTGTTCTGCAAGCCTGCATGCACGCATCGCCGCCACAGCTCTACAAGATGATGCATGCGACGCCGTGCAGCAGGATCATTGTGCCAATGATAGCTAGTTTCTGTATCACCCTTGCCGAATAGATGTCGTGAATACGTATTCGTAGGGTGCGGCAAACACCGGCCATCCGCCGGAGAATGTCGACAAAATAGTTCAACGGCGCCGTCGGGTAGGACTCGGACGCGGACAATGATCAGAGAATGGCAGAGATGGCGTTTGCACGTCGTACATAGGATCAAGATGGAGACAGTGCAAGAGATAGAGTCCAGTGCTTTTGAGCTATATATTTGGCCATTCTACCACCTCTGAGTACGTGTGCTCAATCTAGGCTGTTTCCTAGGGACAGCTGGAATGCCACTGGTTGATGAACGTGATGATGACAGGCCAAGACCGGTGCGTTCGTATAATAATTACTAACTACATAGCCAAATCAGACTCTGACGCCGTGTTGCACTTATACCCCGTATTATTTAATTGGCCGGCCACGCCGTGTCTCGTGCGTGCATGAAGGGTTGATCGCGTGTCGCCAGGGGTGAGCTGCGTAGCCGGCACCCTGGTTTGCATATGATTATGGTATACGGATAAACAGAGCACCTACCAGCAAGACTTGTCCAAATTGAAAAAGATTGGCGATCTCATGCAGCTTGGCAGATCGGACGCGGTTCCTCTCCCGTGTTCTTTTGATGCTGTATATTTAGATTGAGTAGCGGGCCTTGCCGCAAAATGGCAGGCTCTCACAGGCGGATCCATTATAGGGGGACAGAGCCAAGCTGGGGCTGTTGGATGCTGATTGGCTGGAGTCTGAACAATAGAGCCAATGAAAATTCTGGACAATGGAACGGCGCACGTGACGGTTGACGTGCTCGAAAAAACGGTGAGGCTAGTGCTGGGTGAGGAAGGAGAAAGGAAGAAAGAAAAAAATTGTTCCGGAAAACCCCCCCCCATCGTGTGCGTTGCACTAGCCACATGCGAACTACTGTAGGAAAGGGGGGGAAAGAGGGAAAGCCACACCTGCAGAGGCTGGTAAAACCCCCAGACTTGTCCCTCAAAGGGAAGCCGAAAACTGAACTGGCTTGCGGCTCCCAAGCTAACGACAAACGCCTCAGGCCACCAACAATGGCTAGTGTAGCGCCCATCACCGCTATAATTTGCACAAAATTATAGGGCCTTCTTTGTCTGGCCCTTGGCTCGACCGCTCATGAATCATCGAGCGAGTATTTCATCACAATTATGCTAGTTGTAATTTTGCTCGGAATTAATCAAGGTCCCACACTACTCCGTACTGAAGCGCCGTAGCATTTCCGTATTTTTTTTCGGGTGTTTTGGCCGGCAACAGGGGGGGGGAGGCCCCCAACATTTCCCCTTCTTCTTCCATTACTAGTTCGCCGCCTAGTCCACACCACACGCAGCGCGGTCACGCGCTTTCCCGCCTCATCCCCAGCCAAACCAAGCCTGGTCCCGAACGACCCTCTCGCATCGTCGTCATTGCCATTCACGCCCATCCACTCCCCTGCCCCCCCCCCCTCCTCTGCGCCTTCGCTCGTTACATCGCCCGCTTCGCATCGCGTTGCGCAAGCACCTGCGATCGTTTGCATCATCTCATCCGCCTTCTCCGCCGGCGCCCGGTCGCAGGGACACTGCCCGCTGCCCAACCAAGTCGGCACGGATTCCCCGCCTCGCCACCGCTGCCGCATCGCGACCAGCACAAGAGAAGCAGACGCGACCTCGATAACCGCCCAAACCCATCGCGTCGAGTTCTCTCCTCGCCATTCAAGTGAATGGCGCCTTGATCGACGGGTCTGCAACCGCATCGACTCGTCGCCACACTTGCTATCGCCGCCTCGCCTGGCTGCTGCGCTACCGCCGACACACTCCGCTCGGCGTTTTTCTCACCTCACACTCGCCCCCCCTTCCCTTTGTTTGTCGCGCGCATCCATCTCGGAAGCGTGCGCATCTTGCCTGTAGAGAACCGTGGCGGCACTTACCCTCCTCAGCCACACCGAGACGGCCGAGCTGTCGCTGCAGCAGCACCTCGAAATATCACCCGACCTGATCGCGTACCCGCCACAGGTCGCCACCGCGGCGGACACGGAGCCGCTGATGATGGCACAGCAGGTGCCTCATCAGGCGACGGACAAGAAACGCGTCAAGGTCTACGAGCTGCGCAATAATGACTGGTTCGACAGGGGCACCGGTTTCTGCACTGCGTCCTTTACCACGGTATGTTTATTCGGTACCACAGATCCTCGACGCACTCGGTCCCATACGGATCTGGCGCGGCGCATCTTTAATCGCGGCTTGACCCCCAGAATTCTGTGCTGACGGCGCCATGCGCTCATTAAACAGACAGAGGGCGGCCGCAAAGATCCTAAAGTGATTGTCGAATCCGAGGATCAACCCGAACGACTGCTTCTCGAGACCAAGATTCAGAAAGAAGATGGCTTTCAAAAGCAGCAGGGTATGACGCGCCCATCCATCCCCGCATCCAACTTCACGCTAATGCGCAAAAACAGAGACGCTCATCGTCTGGCAGGAGCCTGGAAGTGGCGTCGATATGGCCCTGAGTTTCCAAGAAGCCGAAGGCTGTGCCATCATCTGGTTCGTCCATCCGCTACCTCGTCGCCAGCTACCCCATCGCTGACCTTTCCACAGGAGATTCGTCAACAACGTTCAGCAAACCTTTCACAACACCGTCGCCGCAGCTGGTATGTCTCACCAAAACCCTGCATTCTTCGCCCTGCTAACTTGGCCAGATGACGCCCTCTCCGATGACCTCGCAGTCGACATCCAGCAGCATAGTGTCAACCTGCCCGTGGCCGAACTTGGTCACCTTCATGAGATCGAAACCAGTATGCGCATCATGAGCAGCACTGCTACTGGACGTGACGCCCTGGCAAAATTCATCATGGCCGACGACTACATTGGCAAGCTCCTACCCCTTGTTGAAATGGCCGAAGATCTCGAGAGTCTGTCAGATTTGCACCGTCTCTGTAACATCATGAAAACGATTATTCTTCTCAACGACACAACCATCATTGAACACGCCGTCTCCGACGAAAACGTTCTGGGCGTCGTCGGAGCCCTCGAGTACGACCCCGATTTCCCGAGCCACAAGGCTAATCACCGCCACTGGCTGGGCAATCAAGGCCGCTATAAGGAAGTAGTGGCGATTGCGGATGAAAGCACACGACGCAAAATTCACCAGACCTACCGACTTCAATATCTCAAGGATGTCGTCCTCGCGCGCATTCTTGATGACCCGACTTTTTCCGTGCTCAATTCCCTCATCTTCTTCAATCAGGTCGACATCCTCCAGCACCTGCAATCCAATAACGAATTCCTCAATGAGCTCTTTAGCATATTTACGGCCGCGCCACCCGATTACCGGCGTAAGAAGGAAGCCGTTTTGTTCATTCAGCAGTGCTGTGGTATTGCCAAGACAATTCAGCCTCCCGCGCGTCAAGCTCTGTACAACAACTTCATCGCACACGGACTACTGCAGGTCATTCATTTCGGCCTTCGCCACGACGACGTCGCTGTGCGCGTCGGCGCTACCGACATTCTTGTTTCCATCATCGACCACGATCCAGCAATGATTCGACAGACGATTTATCGCCAGATGCACGAAAACCAGCCGTCATTGACTGATTCACTGATAGAGCTTCTGCTTGTTGAAGTCGACCTTGGAGTGAAGTCTCAAATTTCCGAGGCTGTCAAGGTGATTCTCGATCAAAGCGTGCAACCTCAGGGCCCTGAGATTATGGCCAAGATCAATAATGAGTTCATGGGACGGCCGAGACCACAACAGTCGGCTGATCCTCAGCAAGAATTGTTCCTGACGCGCTTCTATGATCGATCCGCCGCCAAGCTTTTCAAGCCGCTTCTCGATTTGGAGAACCGCACGGACATGAACTTTTCCGTTCAGCAAGCCTCAATGTTCAACTACCTCATTGAGATTCTGAGCTTCTTCATCCGTCAGCACCACCGATTCAGCCGCTTCTTTGTTATGAACAACAAAATTGTCGAGCGCGTTGTTCACCTCATCAAGTCCCCGGAGAAGTACCTTCGTCTTGTCGCTATTCGATTCTTCCGATGCCTCATCGGGTTACAGGAGGAATTCTACATTAAGCAAATCACAGAAAATCGTGTGCTCGGACCAATCCTAGATGTCCTCATTGCGACATTGCCACGCGACAACCTGGTCAGCTCTGCCTGCCTTGAGTTCTTCGAACATGTGAAAAAGGAGAATATGAGGGATCTGGTCAAGCACCTCGTTGAAACATACCGAGAGCGCCTGGCTGAGCTGAGCTACATGCCGACATTCCGTGATATAGTTTTGCGCTACGACCAAACGCAAGGCTTTACGACTGAGGTTGAATACTTTATGGAATCAGAGGAGGACATGACCAGACGTCAGCCTCCCAATGCGAGGCTAATGGAGCATCTCGCGACTGATCCTCAGGAGGAAGAGTACTGGGAGACGTCAGATCCGGAGGACGACGGCGAAGAAGGCCAACATGCCCATCACAGCAATGGCTCAACGCTGGTATCGAAACCTTTAGTCGACTATGCATCAGATGAAGACGGCGACGACGCTGCCGAAGATGACGACGTCACAACAAAGGAGCAAGATTTTGAGGCGTCTGCAACACTACCCCCCGAGCGCATCAGCGAGAAGCGGAGACGCGAAGAGGATGAAGAAGAGGACGAGCTTGGAAAGCTGGTTGCCAACAAACGTCGTAACAGCGGCTCTACCGACGCGAACTCTGTCACCTCTACGAAGGCCAGCCATCGCCGACGGAGCTTCTCTGCAGGCGCCAATCCCAAAAAGATCGCTATTAGTCTGTCCCCCGCCCTCAAGAGCGGTGGAAACATGAGATCAGACGATGAATAGTGAATGCATCTCGACACATCTCATTCATTGTTCTGGTCTTTCCTTTTAGAACCTCGGAGAAGGCCGCCAGGAGACTACGAAAGGACTTTGCGACCATTTTACAAAAAAAACACCCCAATCGTTTTACATGGACATTGTTTTGCTCTTATACCTTTTACATGCTTTTGTGTATTCAAAGCATCGGCGTACCGGCAGTGTGTGACGAAATTTACGGATACAAACTTGTTTCTTTGCCCTTTTTTTTTTGACTGGGTTTTGGGGTTGCTTTGTGAGGGCCCTGGGCGGCTACACTGGTTTGTTTTGGTTTTCTTTTTCTAACTCTTATGTTCTACGTACAAAGGACCGCCTTTTTTTGCTTCTTTCTTCTTTCTTCGTCTCATTTTCTTTTTCAACAACGGCCATTTTTGTCCTGCAAATTTTGATGAACTGAAAACGAGAGTGGTGGCTGGCGGTGATGGTTGGGTTTTGGTAATGCGTGTGAGGAGGGACAGGGGGGAGGGACTTTTTATTTCTTGGAGCATCATTTTTTTTTTTGCTCTCATGAACCTGACGACGTCCTTTTTTTTCTAAACTTGTCAAGTGCGTCTATGAGTTTTTACTCGAGCAAATCAATAAACTACGTTTGTTTGCCTAAATCAAGACGCGTGGTGCCGCAGGTATAAGCCAATTCTTATCAGGTAAAATATGAGGTTCTTCGCTGTCTTTCTTCGCCTGCCGAGTAATTTGACAGCTTGAGGGGATTCAAATCAGAGACAGGAGAACAATGGAAGGGATAAAATCCCATTGCAATGGGCACGGCTGCGAGGCCATACAAAGCACGAGTTGATTTCGATTCTATTACTATTCATCATCAATCATTTCCTTCTAAACTGCTGCGACCACGCCTTGTACGTATCCGTCATAAACTGCGTGATATTCCTCGGCGTCTTATCAATCGCCGTCTCCAAGTCCGCCATGGCAATCTCCAGGGGCGCCGCGCCATCCGTGTCCTCGTAGCGCTCAAACACGGCCGTGCCGGCCTCGACGCAAATCGCCTTGATCTCAGCCCCGGAGTAGCCCTCGGCCAGGCGGGCCAGGCGGCGCACGTCGACGTCGCCGGCGACCGCCAGGCCGCGCAGGTGCACGGCAAAGACGGCGGCGCGCGCGTCCTCGTCGGGCGGCCCGACGTAGACGACCTGGTCGAAGCGGCCGGGGCGCAGCAGCGCCGGGTCCATGGCCTCGGGCCGGTTCGTGGCCGCGAGCACGAGCACGCCGCCGAGGCTCTCGAAGCCGTCCATCTCGGTCAGCAGCGCCGTCAGTATGTTGACGGACGTGTTGCTGCGGCTGCCGCCGGCGCCGGCGCCGCCGTCGCGCTGCCCGCCGATGGAGTCGATCTCGTCAAAGAAGATGATGGAGGGCGAGGCGGCGCGCGCGCGCTCAAAGAGGGTCCGCACGGCGCGCTCCGACTCGCCGACATACATGTTGAGCAGCTCGGCACCCTTGACGGCGAAGAAGTTGAACGAGGACTCGGTCGCCATGGCCTGCGCGGATAGCGTCTTGGAGCAGCCGGGGGGGCCGTAGAGCAGGAGGCCCTTGTGCGGGGACTGCAGGACCTTTCTGCTGTTGGGGTTGGTGGACTGTATATGGTCGGTTAGTAAAGACGATGAATGGAGTGAGATTCGGGGAAGCGTGAACGGTGTACGTACCCTTGTGTTCTTGATCATACGGGATAGAACCTTTTTCAGGTCATCCTGGCCGCCAATGTCCTGCCAGTGGACAGTCGGCGGGTTGAGATTGATATCGTGCATGGCCTTTGGTCTCGTCACACACAGCGCCTGCTCCATGTCGGATACTTCCATGTAGTATTCCCGCTTCGCCGCCTCTCCGGTTGTCTTCTCTCCTGCCTGCTGCGGCACCACGGCGTCCGCCTCGGCATCAAAGCGGTCGTCGGAAAACCCCTTGGCGGCCTGCACCAGAGAACAGAGGTCGTGGCCGTTGTACGCGTGCGTGCGCGCGGCCACACTCTCAAGGCAGGCCTCGCGCTCCTCCGCCCGCAGCGGAAGGTCCAGCGCATCCAAGATCTGGCGGCGCTCCGGCGCGCGCGGCAACCGCAGCGCGACATGCTTGTGCAGGCGCGTCAGCTTCTGCAGCCGGGGCGGCACGTCGGCGGCGTAGTCGAGGCAGGCGGCGACGACGACGACAGGGGGCAGGCGCTGCTGCGTCGCGGCGCGCGCGGCGAGCGCGTCAAGCTCCTCGGAGAGCGCCTCAACGACGACGTCGTGGTTCGCGCGGTCCTTGGCGAGGAGCTCCTCGAGCTCGTCGAGCAGCACCAGGGTGGGCCGGCCGCTGGCCGAGGCCTGCTTGAACGTCTCCCGGATGGCAGTGGATTTCCACGAGGACCGGATCCAGTGCACGTCGTCGGCCCAGCCGGTTGCGGCCAGCTGCTGCAGGATCAGTGTCTTGCCTGTGCCGCGGCCGCCGTGCACCACAAAGGCGCACGACAGCTCCGCGTCGCGGATCCGAAAGGGACGGCTAAAGGCACGGAGGAAGCGGTTGAGCTGGATGAGCTGGTCGCCGAGGCCGGGGATGCCCGTGACGATGAGCTCTTTGGTGGGCGGCGTGCTGCCGGCGTCGGTCGTTACGGCAGAAGTGTCGGCCTCGCCGGGCTGGAGGATGCGGATGGCGCTGGTGGCGGCGCGGAAGCGGCACAGGTTGTGGCTCTGGCCGTTGACGCGGACGACTTTGAAGCTGCGGCGCGTCTTGTTAATCTGCACACCTTCAAAGACCATGCCTGGAAATAACTGCTCTGCGTCGCCTGCACCACAAACTGGGGTTAGCAATCCAACAGCGGCTAAACCGATATCGCGAGAAACGTACTCATGGCATCGGCCAGAATGACCCTCCAGTCAATGGGATACAGCGCCGGTTTCGCACCACCCTTCGCCTCCTCATCCACATCTCGCACAACCACCTCGTTCACATCCGGCATCGTCTTGCGCAGCGCGATGCGCACCTGGTCACCGATGCGGAACCCCGTGGCGTCCTGAAAGGCGCGGGTCATCATGACCACGTTTGGGCTGAGGTTCTTCTCCGGGAGCACGCACAGCGAGGCCTCCCGCCGGATCGGCTTCTCCGTGTCGGACGCATCGGCGTCGTCGGGCAGCAACAGCTGTTCCACCACGCAGGGCTTGTTGCTCTCCAGGCCGTTTGTCAAGGCAATGAGCGTGTCCTTGCTCACGTAGAGGCGGGCGGCGCCGAGAAGGTTTTTTTTCTCCAGTCCCGGGTGGGAAAGCGGCCGCACTTTGGCGGTTATGCTTTCCTGCACCATTGTCTGTATCGCTTGTTTGTCTGCTATGTCGACTTGCGACTCTTTGTGTGTTGCGAATGTAGAAAAGCTGCGCCGTTTGGGTGGAGCATCGATGTCTGGTTATCAGATGGCACAGTCAACACACACAGCTCACAAACAAGTTACAGAAAGTGAAAGAGAACAGGAAAGTATCCTTGTATTAAAAGGAGTAGATACACTCTTTATACCCTGCTGGGCAACAAATTGACAATGCCGATCTTGAGTTCCTTCTGGCTTTGGAGTGAGTCGACACTTAGCGTCTTCTGCAGGCTCTGTTAAGAATATTGTGGGACTGACTCTGGACTATCGCATATTACAGGATTATTGCTTCACGTATTTAAAGACGACCGGAATAGAGGTGATGAATCCCGAATATGTAGGTAAGGCGCCGGAATTATGCAGATATGTCGATTTCTGACTCCTGATTTCATGACTCAGAGTCACGCGTGTCTGACTTATTCTTCAGTCATTTTTGGTTACGACTAGCTTCCAGGTCTGAGCTGATAAATCGCTGGCAATGAGTTCAGCTTGCTCAAGCTTGAAGAGGAAAAGGAGAAAAAAGAGAAAAAGAACTACGTGCTGAATTGTTTGAGTCCTGGTACAAAGCATATACGGCAAGTATCTTGCTGGATTATTTTGTAGGTTTTGTGACCTGCCAAATGCCTGCGTCTCTACCCCATCACTGGCACCACCTGTGAACCACAAGATACTCCGTACGCAGTCTGAGTCTAGATAGTGACTGTCAGTGTCTGGAAATATTGTCAATTGGACCCTAACTCTAATAAAATACAACAACGGCGCCAGGTCGTTTATAAGTCATTTCTTTCACCGGACGGCTTGCTAGTGTAAGCGCCATAGGCGCTTGCTAACATGTCTCTAAGCCCGCCCTGCAACCATGGTGCGATGATATCACACTTGCATTATTTACATCAGTTCTTGTTTTGTTTTTCGTCTGTCATCAGAGACCTAGGCATTGAGTTCGAAGTTCCTTGTGGCGCTGTTTTCACACTTTGCATGATGCTCAAAAGCTGTCATGTATGCCGCATCCCGTCAATAACCCTCCGTACTTCCTGGGCGTCACCGCTTTGATTCACCATGTCCCAAAAGACGCCCTTCTTTTCCATCAACTCGGCCGGAGACCCAAGCTCAACAGCGGCGCCCTCATCCAAAACTAGAACCTTGTCCAAGTCGGCAACTGTGGCCAGCCGATGGGCCACCACAATGATCGTAGAATCTGCGAATTCACGGCGAATCACCTCTTGGACCATCGTGTCCGTCGCTCGATCTACGGCGCTGGTCGCCTCGTCCAGGACAACGATGCGCCGAGGGTCTAGGATCGCCCTTGCGAGGCAGACCATCTGTCTCTGCCCATGGGAGAGATTTTCGCCGCGGGGGTGAATGCTCATTTCCAAGTTTTCCAGCGTATGGGTTGGGTCCTGCCTGTTCTCAGTGTGCATATATACCTTGCTCAACGCTGCCTTGAGCTCCTCGTCGGTTTTGTGGCCGTAGACATTCAGATTGGCGCGCAACGTGTCTGAGAACAAGAATGGATCTTGAGGTATGACAGAAATGGAGCTCCGAAGACGAGTGAGCTTGACAGACGCGATATCGACGCCGTCGATGTAAATAGTTCCCGCCTCGATGTCAATGAACCGGAGCAAGGCATTAACGAGGCTTGTTTTGCCAGCACCCGTACGTCCAACGATGCCTAGACGTTCGCGCGCCTTTAGTGAAAGCGAAACATTCGTTAAAACAGGTGGCAGACCGGTATCGTAGCGAATGGTAATATCTTGAATGTAAACTCTGCCAGAGGCGGGCCATGACGCTGCTACATCCTCCCCATCCTGACTCTCGGTAGGCGCGCCCGCAATATCCAGAACACGATCGATAGCGCGAGCTCCGCTGGTGAGAAGGTTGGTCTTGCCCATCATCCCGCTCATAGTTGCCTTGAACTGGAGGACTACATTAATGGCAAAACCTGCGGTCGCAGCATCGGCGCCTGCAAGCACCAAGGATATGGCGGTGGCGCAGACGAATAGCGAACCAAGAATGCCATATCGGCCATGAATCCACCGTTGTCCTAGAGTGATGTGCCAGCTAAGACACATCTCCACATCCAGCAAGTCGTATATGCGCTCAATATATATCGACTGCTTCTTGAAAGCTCGTATCGTCGTAATACCATATTCTGCAGAGTTTGTGTGCTCCAGAATAGGCTGCGCTGCGAGCGGAATGAGCTTGTTCAGGCGCTTCGACATGGAAAGATGCCTTGCCGTGATTCTGAAGTAGAAGGACAACATTATCACCATCATAGCAATGGTCTGAGGGGTAGCAACTCCACTGCTTCTGTCAGTGAAATGTAGGTAGGCCAGCAGTGCTATGCCACGTACCTAGTGAAAACAACAACGGCTAGCTGCATGACGATGCGAAGCAAATCACTGAGGCCTGCTGCAACTCGGTGATCGACCAGGTGCATGTCAGAGGAAAGGCTTTGTAGCAGCTTCCCCAAGGGTGTGCTATCTATCCATCGCAAAGGACTACTCAGAACGCCTCGCACTGTCCGTTGAAAGAGCACCTCTGATGCGCGTTGACTTACTCCTTGCACAGTGATGGCATGTACCGCCAGGGCAACGGCAGAGCAGACTGACAGAGCCAGGTAAATATACAGATTGAACCGCAGGCTCTCGCCATCAAGCTCTTTACCCGAGGTCCATTTCGTTAGCCACCACGAGTTTCCCACCGCCAGAAGCCGACATGCGAACGTTGCCGAGACGGCGAGTATAACAGGCCAAATTCCACTGCCCAAAATATATGTAGCAAGCGTTCGCAGTACAGAACGCCGAGAAGTAGCTGGACTCTTTTTGCCTGCATCAGTCGAGCGCAACCCAGAACCCGGTTTGGGGCTGCTGGTGGCCGAACGAGGCACAGTTTCGATGTTCAGATGTTCACTACTACGCCGCGGAGCACAAACACGACCCGAAGCAGTGCCTGCATCAACAGTAACTACATAACTGGCCAAATATTCGCAGATGGCCAAGTGGTGAGTCGCGATAATCACCGTCCGGCCACGAACCAACGGACCAGATAAAGCATTGTGGCAAAGCCATTTCGCGACATGAGGATCAACCGCGCTGAGAACGTCGTCGAGCACAAGGATCCGGGCACGAGAGTACAGAGCTCTCGCCAGACTCACTCTCCACTTCTGACCACCGCTGAGAGCTCCGCCACCGACGCCGGCCATCGTTGAGTCTCCGTCAGGAAGAGCTTCAAGGTCCCTTTCCAGCGCGCAGGCTCGCAGAACAGCCATGTATCGCTCTTCATCAAATGCGTTGCCAAATAGAATGTTTTCCTTGATAGGCCGGTTTTCGATCCAGGGCGGTTGCGAGACATATGCAAAATCGGGCACCGAAACTACCGTCTGCTTGCCAAGCATTGGGCTGGAGTTCGACTTGGGGCCTCCGAGCTCAACATCCGCCTCACCTAGCAGTGCGGAGAGCAAAAGACCTTTGCCAGAACTTGTTTTCCCGGCTATGACGCTCAGCCTCCCTTCTGGAAAGCGCAGGTTTACATCTCTTAGACAGAAAGATGAGCCTGATGACTCCGGAGCGGCGGCTGAGCTGGCCCAACTTATCCGGGCATCTTTGAACGATGTTGAGTCGGCGCTGGTCGGAACTCGAACCTCCGTTGACTGGTCCAGATATTTTTCGATGCGCTTGCTGGCTGCAAAAGACTCTTGGAGACTGGCTATCATGGCCGGCAACTCTTGCATAACAGCATGGAGATTGCGGAAAAGCCCTATAGAGGCAAACGCAAGCGATGGGCTTAAATGACCGACCTCAAGGGCATAGGAGGAAAGCGACACTGATATCAGTAAGATTGGCCCCAGATTTGTGACGAGGGTCAGCATTGACAAGATCATCCCGCAATGCCATATCTGCCTCAGTTCGCGAGCCCTGGCTCTGGTAACTCGCTGTTGCCAAAGTTGCTCCATGGATGACATGCGGATTTGGCGGAGACTTCGAAGCAGCTCAGATACTTCTGTAGAGAAGGCATTGTGTAAATTTGAAAGCTCCATCTTGGCATGTCTGTGCTGATGGGAAAGCATTTTCGAGATGGGGAATAATATGACAGGAAATAAACTGCCGATGAGAATATGTTTCAGACCGATCAGATAAATTAGATATGTGACATCGAACAGCAGTTTAAATCCAGCTTTGAGACAGTGTTGGCTAGAAGCACACGCCTGGCAGACCGATGCACTGATATTGTTAGCACAAAACAGACCGTAGACGCACATTCTTACCAATCATTTGACATTAAGCTCTCCAAAGAGAAAACGTCATTACGTTGTGCGGCTTTCGGCTTAGCTTGCTGTGAGCTTCGCTTTTTCGTCATGGTCTCGAACAAGACACCCTTCAGCAGAGCAGTCATCGGGAGAGAGAGCTTTGCTTGCGTCACCCATGTAATCCACCCTGCAGACATGTTTTCCGATAAAAGTGCCAAGCCCAGACATACAGCATAGCCCATGGCGTAATGCTGGGTCAAGGGCGGCTCTAGACAACTAAGTAGTCGCTGTAGCAAATACTGACTTGCAAACTGAGACATACTATGTAGCATCGTCAAAGCCCATTGCAGATAGAAGCTATACCGCCATGCCTTGATCAGTCGCAACATCAGCATGTCGTCTGAGGCAGATTGCATAAATATTTGTCGCAGAGGTCGCATTCTGTGCGCGAGAGGCGCGACGGGCAAGTCACGCAAGCTTAAATTTTCAAGAGCAGAGAATCGATGTTGATAAAGCGGAAACCAAGAGAATGAAAGCAGAGAGATAATCGAGGCGCCATTCTGCTGATCGATGAGGCGTCCATCATTGTATAGTACCGGCCGCCGCGGTAGGGTTAAGCAGGCGATGCTTATGACTAGGACGCAATTCATTTCTATGAAGGCAATGCTGACACAAGGGCCCCTCATGAAATCATGAAGCCCGATATAAAGAGCAAGAACGGCGGCCGAAGCCAGTGCCCCGACGCCTTGCTTATAGCGCTCCCGCACGCCAGCCTCATTTCCAATTATGAGAGCCTGAGCTGCGAGAAGAAGCTGATACGATTAGTGAGATGCACATTTGAACCTGATATTGAGAGAGTCACCCATAGACCGACGCGCGGGTTGGCCGCGGCTGGCAAGCTCCACGGCCCTATTCTGTCGTCGTGGCCAGCACGAAACACAGACGTTGAGGTTCCAACAGCAGCGGCAGCATTCATAAAGAGCTTGGCCGTGGTGATGCTGCGAGAGTTGCCTTGTGGTTCTGGAGTTGTGCCTCCGTCCTCATCCTGGTACAGGCGGTGCGGCTGGGCTGCTCTGCTACTGATATGCAGACATTGGCGCGTCAGGAGTGCAACCGCTGCAAGGCTCGTACAGCCAATTGCCGCCTCCATGTCGGCTCATTGGACGGGCGCTTCGCCTGGACCTGGCAGTCGAAGTGCACCGGGTTTCGCGACAAGACAGTGGCGGACCGTTGTCTCATTACGAGAGAGTAAAGGGGATGAAGGAGTTTGTATGACGAGGAATGGCACTGGGCTGTATAGGCGCTAGAGCAGTTGAAGGACTCAGCTGCTTCAGCCAAGGACACTGTGACAAGAATTCCTAAAATAACCCGTACAGGTTCTGAGGTGATTATAGAACGAGGAAAGTATATGAATTGCAAGAAACATGAATTTTTTCCAATAGTTCAACGTTATAAAATTTGACTTGCACAGTGGTGGTGGTGGTGGGGCTCTGAAGCCAAATTATCGACAGCGACAACTTTTCGACTTCCACCTTCTTCAACAGGCAGCACGCAACGAGCTTTGCCAGCACCGACGCCTCCGGCCCCAATGCGTCGACAGTCTTGAATACAACAAGCAGCCCGAATGTTTCATTCGACATGGCCGCGCGTCCGGCGTGCGGCCGCATGCTGCTGCACCAGGGGCCAACGCCTCTACTCTTCCCGCGACGCGAACCGCACCCTGCCCGACAGACCCGGCTACGACAGCGCACCGCGCGGCCGGACGAGGACCTTTGACCGCCGGGACCAGCTGCGCAGCCGACCGACACCTCCGAACCGCGCGGTCCAGCAGAAGCTGCAAGCGGAGCGCAACCTGCGCAGAAGGCTGGTCGAGGGCCGGCTCTCGCTGGCGGAGCAGACCGAGGCGGCCGCGGCGATTGAGGGCCTGAGCCCGGAGCAAATCACGTCGGGCGTCCTTGGGGACTTAAAAAGGACAGATCCTGAGCCCACGTCATACCGAGACGCAGAGGACTTCGCGAATCCAGATCAGGAGAGCGGTGACAACCAATGGTCCCTGCTGAAGAGACGTCAACGAAACGCCGAGACAGAGCTGGCTCCTTTCGAGACTACGCCGCCTCTGGAAGAGAGCGAAGCAAGAAACACAAATACCGAGGCATGGCCGCTATTGAAGCGGCGCGAACCAAGCTACGGATACATGATGCCCTCAGACATGTCCTCCGAGGACGAGGACTCGACCGAGCTGGTCACGACACCACCAGCCGACTCGACAGATCTGGTGGCCGCCACCCGCGCCGCCCTTGCCAGAAAGGATGATTTCCCCGTCGCCAAGTCGCACACCATGATCCGCATCGACGGTCTGAGCACCAACGTCCACGCGTCCGACTTTTACCGCATCGCCGAGACGGACCTATCCAAATGGAACCAATCCATCAAAAAGGGTACGCGTTTTTTGTCCCACCGCCTTACCGAACCTGCCCACTAACACCGCTTCTCCGACAGTGCAGCAAGTGCGTGATCGGATGACGCTGGAGCCGACCGGCACCTACAACGTGACCTTTTCCACCGCCGTCGCGGCGACCGCCTACGCCGCGCGCTTCCAGCGGCTGCACGCCATGGCGCGCGTGCGCGCCCGCTCGAGCACCGGCCTGTGGCGGAGCGAGGTGCCGCCGGCGCTGCTGCAGGCCGACGACGGCGCGACGCAGGACGATCTCGAGGCGGCGCTCGCGCGGCTCACCGTGGCCGACGGCGCCCACGAGACCCTGC